TGGGCTTTCTCTAGCAGAATCAATAAAATATGTAACTTCAAAAGGTTACACTTCTACATCTATTTCATGCCTAATGTTCTTCTGAAAACTAATATACTTACAAAAACCATACCTTGCGCTTTTGCCCCAAAACAGCTTGAACAATACAGGTGGGTCTACCAACAAGTTTCCAGCTGGTTATTACTCTGTCAGAGACAGACCTCTGGTGGCCAGCCAGTGCCTGACAGCACACGGCCGGCAGAGCACACGGCTACCAGAACAGAGGGAAAAATACATCCTGAAAACACAACTTGCCACCAAAACTGAGACTATGAAGGAAACAAGTGAAGGAGCCGTCAGGGGGATCCAGCACTGCTCACTGCAGTGAGAATCTCAGAAGGCATTTGTATTTTCCCCAGTATATCACTGAGCTGAACTCTGATTGCTGTCACAATAAAATACTTCACAATTTGTTTTTACTGTGAAAATACCTTAAAATACAAAATCTAAATATCAGAGAAAACCCACAGAGCAGATAAAGAGAAGAATATTTAAAGTCTCCTAAGCCTTCTTCCTGAATTCATACCTGACTGTCTGCACTTGTCTAAGCTGTGCTGTACCAAACATTCACATCCTCCAGCATAGCAACTCCCATCACAGTATGCAACTCAGAACTGTATTGGAAGCACCTCTTCAGACTTGAACTCAGCCTTTTCAGAGAGAGGAATTTGTGCAAGCCTTCTGCATCAATCCTCTATCATAAGACTTTGAAGAAGCGTTTTCTTTTTCCAGCAACAAAACTCAATGTTAATTACAAGAAAAAAAACCCACACCTACTATTACACAATATTGGTATTTTTCAAATAAAGCATCAATTATGTAAGCTGTTAAACTGAGCTCAAAGAGCATAAAAAATGAAAACCAGAGGCATGAAATACTAACTCTACATAGTTTTTAAAAAAAAGAACGTGCATCTAACAGATTTTAAAAGCAAACGTATTGGTATGAACTCAAATTCTCATCACTATATGCTTAGTGAAAACAAAATATTGCTGACTGTAACCAACTGAAGACTCACGTGGAATTGAATGTAGTTGAATTTTCTCTTCTTTTTGTAAATCCCACAGGCAGTGTTTTCAGCTCAATATTACGCCCTCGAGCTTTGTTTCTCAAACACTGTAACTGGCAAAAAATAAAAACAGCGTTTAAAAAACTCTGAATAATATATTAAAAACCTGAAAGTTAAACAATAAAGGTGACAGGAATTATTAGAAAATTGTGGAAAAGGCCATATTGAATACAATACTTTGAATTTAAAAAAACCCACAATGAATGAAAAAGTTAATAAAGTAAGCCTAGAAACTCTCTGAAACATTTTCAGGAGCAATTTTTCTTTGATTAAAGAAGAAGACACCAATGGCCTCTTCATAGTAAAAGTTCTTTAACATATCACAAAAGTCACAGCCTGCTCTTTTGGGTATAATACCACCATGTGGCTGCTTTTTGGGCTACAACCCTGTTAGCAGAAGGGATACACAAACACTATCTCAGACACTGACAAATTCTGATTTAAAGGTAGCACTACAGGTATCATCCTACAAACATACCTAGTACCACACCCCAAAGACTGCTACCTATCTTACTATCTTCAGCCCGTGTTTTCAGGACATCATGGTACCAAGCACACACATAGAGTATGACTCCAGTCCGAGGGAAAGCTGGAGTCTTCGGAATTTATTTTGTCATCAACACGAGTTCTCTCTGAGTTCAGTACTATATTTAAAGACGTCTTCACAAGACTGTTAAAAAAAGGCCCGGATGCCTTTTTGTGACATATCAACAAGTCAAAATATTTTGTATCAGATTTGGTTGGTTGGTTTGTTTGTTTCTTTGGGAGGTATGTTTACTTGATTGGTTGGTTTTTGAAAGAGTTTCAACAAAAGCCCGTTCACCTTTAGAAGGCTGGCTTTTAAGTCATACTTGTGCAGACTTATTCTCTGAAGAACATTAGGTGGCTTCATTTAGCATATTGGGAAGCACATAATAATTTTTAGGCAATTAATAAATCCATTGCTTAACTTGGAATTTTGTACTTAAAAATTCAATAGTATTGTGGAGGTGGAAGGAAACATTCAGGCTTTCTTAACACACATCTATTATCCAACAGTGACAGTGATCACGCATCAATTTTAAGAACGTACAGAGTTAGCAATCTATTCTTCTAAGCAACTGGACATAGCCATCAATACAATTTTTGCATAAACCTAGAGACTCCTTTTGATTTCTGGCTCTAAAATTCAGGGCCATACCTTCATAGAAGAGGTATCAGCTCTGAAATCTGGACTGGAACTGTCTCAGTGGAAATTCAAAGGTGGTCAACCCTAACAGACCAAGTGGTTAATTAAAAACTTACAAGTCTTTTTGTTGCTGGACTATGCACAGTACAATGTCGAGCAGCAGCATCAGCTGTCCTTGATACATCTTCCAGGAAACGATAATCTGAAGATAAGAAAAGAACACAGAGAAATGCAGTGCTAACCTAGTAAAAGCAAAGAATTTTAAAAAGCACAAGGTACGTTCTTACCACTCAAAAGGTTCAAGTCAGTAAATTCATTTACAGAGACAAACGCTGTTTTATCCCTCACTCCGTTACAGCTCAGTGCAAGCTTATGTTTCTTTACACACAACAGACTGAAACGACAAAAGGAAAGGAGAAACATGTTTAGCACATAATGGAGAAAATAACCACAACAGTTTAATTCAGATAACAGATACCTGCACGAATATTTCATGCATCGCGGACATCTGTATTTAGCTTCTTCTTTGCTACAGGTTTCACATCTGAAAGAAGTAAAAAACACGTCTTAATGAAGCAGCATCTTTGTGCCTGACTGGTCTAAGAAGGTGCCTGCTCAACAGCCAGGCACTAGGCCATCCATAGCATTTTCGGGAAAAGCTATCAGCACTTCGAAAGAAGAGAGAAAATACGAATGCTCTGGATTAAAAAGGCGTCAGACAAAACAACACAAGCTAAAAGGAACGTATTCAAACACGCAGATATTAAAACACAGCGCATGTACCTGGAAGCAAAAAAAACCCAACCATGCTCAGACCTGGAACCATAGCAAGCCTTTAGCAGTTTACTCTGTGGCCTGGTTGTAGCAATGCTTTTCTCCATTCACATCACCTGTAATGTGCACTGTACCACGTTGGCTTATAATACTCCCACTTTAGGTAAATGGAAAATAAATGCCGAGAATTTGCAATAAAGCACTCTTTTTTTCACTGAAACAGAAAGACCATAACAACATGGTCAGCCAAACAACTTCTGGCTGTCAGCAGTGCAAACCCCAAAGTCAGGGAACCTTTCAGACATAAAGTGTAAGCCTTATGAATACAGCTAACAAATATCAGTAAAAAAAAAAATCCTCTACAAATATGATCTTATGCTTTTTAACCAAGCTATTATAAGAGATGCTTCTCCTATTCTTAGAAAAAAGTTCTTGATATATAACTGAAATAATCATAACTTTCCTTTTTTTTTTTTTAACTCTGACAAGTAGGGGAGAGAAATAACCCTTCTTGCACTTCAGTAAAGTTTTCTTGGTACCAAGCCACCATTTCCAACGGTTAGAAGCAAAGTGTCAGCCTCAAGCCTTTTCTCTCCCTCTCCGCACCACGTGCTTGCTGCCCGCTGGCAGAGGGGTCTGAAGGACAAGCTCAGCAGCATCACCTCCTGACGAGCCGGTGGATCTGTATACCGGTAGCACGAAGTGTTAAAAGAACTCGAAAAAAGTGCTTTTTTTTTTTCCTGAAAAGCAGAAACGGGGAATTACTCTGAGCATGACCCCTTTTCCCGCTCTTGCGGTATCTCCGCAGTGCCGGCCGCACCGCAGTGGTTCAGAGAGCTGCGCCGGGCGTGCCGCGGGGCCCTCGCTCGTACGGGAACGGCCCCGCCCGCTGAAGGAAACGAGGGGGCTGCAGGGCACAGGATCCTCGCCGTGCCGACCCTGCACTGTCTCTTCCCTCCGGCGGCCGCGGGGGTGGCGGGAGCGCGGTACCGGCCCTACCTGTGCAGGGACATCTTCCCGCCGCCCGCGGCCCGTGGGGCGCTGCCCGTGCCGCCTGTGCCGCCACCGTCCCGCTCCGCCATGGCCGCGCCGCCGCCCCGCGCGGGGCCCCACGGGCCGGGCGGGGCCACAGCGCCCTCCCCTGCGCGGCGGCGCCGCCTGGCGGCCGCTCCCGGCACCGCTCCCTCACAGAGCGGGACGCGCGTCCCGGTGCCGGAGGCTTTCCGAAACACGCCGGAGACTCCCCAAAACGCACCGGAGGCTGTCCAAAACTGGCGGTTTCGCAACACAGTTGCGGCGCTTCCCAACCCCGGGGTACATCGTTACCTGCCCGTGTCCAGCTGCTCCAGCTCGGCGTCCCGTCTGTCCGCGCGGGATGAGCATTTTTGCCTCAACTACAGAAACACACATCCGAGCAGCCTCCTAAAGCTTTAAGCTCCTCGTTTTTAAAACAGATAATTTCTAGGATGTAGAACTTCCAAAAATAGGACAGTGAGACGAAAAAAATATACGTGAAGCAGAACATTTTCTAAAAGATTATAATCTTAAAAAAACACAACAAACATTTGTCACAACATCAGCTCCAAAGCCAAACTAAGAGCAAATGTCAAGTGATAATGTCAGTGTTTTGATCTTGAAAATGAAAGAAGTTGGACAGTTTCTCTAACCTTCATCATCACTCTGTGATCTTGTTTCGTCTTCGGTTTTAACAGATTTTCTCAAAGTAGTCAAAACTGATGCTTCAATACAAAATGTTAAATGGGATATACATGTATGTTACCTTGTAAAAGCAAACACTGTCCCCTGGCCATATTCCATGGCGTATAGAATATGCCTTTCCCCTTGGGAAGACAAGCACTACCACTTAACAGAAGTGCCCTTCCACAGGATTTTCATCCTTACTAAAAATGACCTACACAACACGAAACAGAATAGTAAAAGACAAACAGATAGCTTGGAAGCTTATTTTATTATACTTTGGTAAGTGTGGTTTCCTGAAGATCAAGCAGAACACTCCCCTGCTCCCCTTTACAGTCTGGTATCACCTTGCCATGTACTCCTGAGCACACTTTGAATTGTTAACAGGTAGAGGCATATCAATATAGAGAGTGCTTTTGCTAATGGTAAAATTGTTCTTTTTTACTAAAAAAATTTAGTTGAACATTTTAGAATTAATTACAAAAACCCAAAATGATCTAATAACTTTGCAAAAAAATGGAATTTCTTAAAGTATGAAATGCTGTTTAGCATTTAGTGTAACAGCAGCTGTTCAGAAGACATGCTGTAGTAGATTTTTTCAGAAGTTACAAAATATATACAGAATGTATCATCCGAAGATGGCTTTGGCATTTGCAATGTTAACTGAAATACAGAATCCAAAACTCAAAACTACTTTAGGTAGCTTTTCTACAAGAATTTTTACAATGGCTGTAAAGCAAACTGTTCTGAATATATGCATCATATACAATGTGCTGTCCTATATACCATTTTCCAAAATAGTACACAAAAATATTTTAAACAAGAAATCCACATAAATAACGTTCTCATTGTAGCGAAGTATGTGACCGACGATTTAAAATAAGTACCTTTACAACAGAAACATTTCCTGATGTAACCAGCACATACAGTCTGAAAGAAAAGGGACTCAAATAATCTCTGCTAAGGCCACAAGCACCTTGTGTTATGAAAAGCACCAAGGCAACACAGACAGGAAACATGAAAGAGGTAGTGTGCCATCTGTTCAGATGTATGTGTCCACAAAGGACTAGAGTAAAACAATGTTTAAGAGAAGAAAACATATTGTACTGTACTGCGGCATGATTCACTTTTCATATATAAGCTATTGCACATTTAGGAGCATTAGCAGATATTGCTCCTTAGAATCATATGCCTCCAGCTTTTCTCAGAATGATTTTTTTGCAGTGGTGTTAAAGAAATTGTTAAGAACACTTGAAATCCTGAAAAAAATTCATGTTCAGATACTCCATTCCAGGAAATTATGCAAGAAAGCACCAAGAAATTTATTTTTAAATACTTTAGGAAAACTGTTGCAGTCTTTTCTCTCTTTCTTTTATTTTTCAATGCTATTTCTCCTTAGGAGGAAGTCTTTTTCTTCCTGAGGTTCTTTAACCAAGAGTACTTAAAATGATTCTTAGTTTCCTAGTCATTTTGCCTGTAATGGATCATTACTTTTGCATTCAATCTATGCAGAAACTCCGTGTTGATGAAAAAAAACCAGGACAGAAACCTTAAAGGAAGCACACTGAACCACTTTCTACGAAGTGCTGCTGTCCTGGTTTGAGGTGAGGAAGTGCGTTAACTTGAACCACTGGAAGCTGACTGGTGTCCTGAGTGTGAAAAAAGAACTGTGTCTTACGCCAGCTGCCATCTTCAATCTGCAACACACAGAAGAATATTAGATTCATATAAAAGATGTGCTTCAAAACACAAATGAAAATCGTGCTTATAGAGAGGGAGAGAAGTAGTGCACAGAAACACTTCTTTCTTCTAGCAATTCCTATAGAAACCATCTAGTTTTACAAATGTCATTTCTCCCTTGCGATACCATGGGTACTCTGGGCAAAGCTGAAGCTGGAAAACAGCTGAGCCCAGGATCCACTTGGAGTGGATGCAGACACAGTGCAACATGGCTCAGAGCAGAACACCTTTGCAAGCAAAGTGATTCATACAGATTCGAAATTCACCCCCAAATCTGAATAGCAGGTGTCAGGTTATCAACTCTACAGGCACTTGAATGACCCTGTAGGCCCTTGAAAAATAAACAAGGGAATCAGAGATGCATTATTGACATGAGCTTTTTATTGCTTACTCTAATCCTTTTAAAAAAAAATCTCAGTAAAAACTGATACCTCATAATAATTTTAAAATAGTATTATAACAGAACCTGAGGCTGCGAGTGCCTTGATGTTTGCAATCAATCCGTTCTTAAAAAACATCAAGTACAGTGTGTTCCACTGAAAAATGGAATCCTCCCAGAGAGGGGAATGTGTCATATTCTGCAGCGGACCCGTACAGTAGTTTCCCACAGAAAGAGTGACACACCTTGTAGAATCTCACAGAAAAATGGCACTTCTCAAAAGCCATCTCAGTATGCCCTAATTTTTCTCAGGGAATAAAACAGTCCCAAACAGACTGGAAGGTGGGGAGAAGGGGCTCTAACGGCCATACTTTATCTGCATGACACAAGCTAGAGCATCTAACTAGCATCTGCTAATAAAGGTTGGAAGCATAATAGCTTTGAAATGCCTCAAAAAAGCCACTTTCTGTTTTGAGATTAAAAATCACACTTGGCACTCCTATATTGATATTGAACCAGCCTCATGTCTTTTGTTATTGCAAATTAAAGTAGAGCTATAAAATACTGAAAGTGTAAGATGCTTGGTTGCTATATTTCACAGTGTTCTCCAAGACTTTTACAAAATGTCTCAAATCTACACAGTAACTCCAAAACTGTTTTAATAATGCCAGTGCTAAAAAATATTTACCATGCATTCATCCATAAGGACCTTTGGTTCAAGCAGCGTATTTGCTTTGAATATTTGACCATTCCATCCTTTGAAGGTAACTGATGTCTTCCGGCCACCTGCTTTGTTTAATCCCCACAGTGGTGTGTTCAGACAATGAACTGTGATGCTGTGGGTTGCTTCTGAGCTCAGTAAATGTAGGAAGTTCATCTGCACTTTTCCAATGCCAAACTCCAGCTAAATTATAAGAGGAAGACATGGTTAGACTTACAGCTGAACTATGCTGAATAGCCACAGCAACACAAAGTGCCATGAACATACAAGTGTGGTGTTCAGGCATGGGAGAATGTATACATTTTTATATACATTGGGATCAATGCTAAAGAGCATGATTTGCATTCTTCAGGGGAGATGTCAGGTTCTATTACAGTGATTACTACAAACAGAAGCTTTCATAGGACATTTTTAAAGCTTAAATATAAACATTTGCAAATGCTTATAACTACTGAAACACAGCTGGGCAGAAAAAATGTTTTCAAATAAGGAAACTGAAACAAATGCTTTTGTAATTCAAAGATATTATCAGCAGCAGTGTTTTAACTGCAGCCACATCTCTGCTGTTTAGTCTTCTTAGACCACAGGTTCTGGCAATACCAATATCCCATTACAAATGCAAAAATTCACAAGCATATTTTGATTTTAGACAGAAAATATAGTTACTCATTACTCAATACAAATTTCTCAAAGACTATTTCATATTCAGAGAACTTTCAAACATAGGAATGCGTATGTGAACTTCATGGCATTTCTGATGCTCTTCAGTGACTACAGTGTATATGCAAAACTCCACAAACAAAAAATTTCTTTTCCCAAGAGTTTAAGAACTTCATGTAAAAAGGAGCATGAACTAATGATATAAAGGAAACCAGTCTCTCCCTAACGGCATTTTAAAGTACCTAGGTGTTGAAAAGCAGGAATAATTTTCATCCTTCCCATCGCAAAGACCTCAGCATCTCCACACTCTTACTGCCCTGAGTGATGAGATACCAGTATAGCTCAGAAGCATTTTAGGCTTATTTTGATGCCTTGTATAGGAAAGTATAAAGCAAAACTAATTAATTCTATCAGCATGGAAACTGAGTAAATGATCACAGTGAGAGTTCACTAACACGTACAACTCCAGAAAATCTGTAACTTTTATAACAGAATATATAATATGTTCTTCCTCAAAGATGCACAATAACACCCCCCCCCCCCCAAAATTTTACACCTTTTCATGAGTTAAGTAAATAAGCATACATTAGTTTAGAGTTCAAGCACAGACACAGCCTTTCTAGAAGCAATATATACCTTTGTCACAGACAATGGTGTTAAACATGTCTGACCACCTGCAGTGAAGTTGCAGAAAACTTCAATGGCATCAGAAGGACATCCAATGTTTGGGTCAATCCAGTATTTTCCTATTAGTGTATAATTTCAGATGGAAAACAAAAAACAAAATATAATTGCTACTAAACAGTTTGCTAAAATATTCCATGTTTCTTGGCAAGTATTACATATATAATCACCATAGCTTCACAAAGAAATGAAAGAAAAGGGACATGAAAGTCTTTTCACTATTATAATTATACTACTAACAGGTACTGACCAAAATTATCATAACCATCCAATTATGATTACAATTACAATGAATTTTTTGTGGATCAGATTCTATATAATGAGAAAGGAATATAGGATCTGATCCACAAAAAAATCATTTTAAGATTAGCTATAAATACTTGGAAAACTTTTAATCACAAAATTGGATTCAGTTTCAAATTTTCTGGATACCTCTGTTACTGACAGATATAATTCAGTCTCTAATACCTAGATAATATTATATAGCTATATACTTCCACCTTTAAAACTCAGAAATTGCATCCTTCAGGTGAAATAAAGACAAACTGCAACAGAACATAACAAAAAAATCTACACATCAGAATTTTCATGCAGAAAGTAATGTTTGGAAGCAACACATTTCAAAGCTACTTGTGTTCAAGCTTTAGTGAAAGGGAGTACTTACCATCTGACACTTTACGTTCACAATTAAGCAAATCCCTGCAGATGCGTGCTGGGTTATCCCGTGTGCCAAGAGGGTTCTTGATGCTGTGCAGTAAATTGCTAAGGTAGTGGAGCGTTTTGAATATCTCTGTACTGTGATCTAGTAAAGTTACTTCAGTATTCTGGTATTTCTGCCAAGGGCCATTAGCAAATGTGTTACCACAAAGAAGTATCACAACAACAGTACATGCAGTAAAAGTCAATTGGCCATTGAATAGCCAGACAGAAACAAAGTACTTATAGGAATGCAATCAGCTGTATAAAACAGGATAAGAATAATACATCCTGATAAAATTAGTACATTTTATTGAAGCTGTCAGAGAAGTGATGTTACCGGTTTAGATCATGCAAATTTGTCATTATGGTATATTGATATAAAAATATGAATACATTTTCTTGAAATCAATGGGGCCACACACATATGTCTTTTTTTTTTTTTCAAACACTATAATTATCTGTGGCTGAACAGATACAGTCCACTATGTGTGATAGTAAATTTCCATTACTAACAATCATGACAAAAAAGTAGAAGTATTTCTGGTTTTCTTAATTTTTCCTATAAATCCTAGCATGTTTAATTACTTTCTACAATAATTACTTGCTATCCATGATTGATTTTAAACTAAGTCTTTGAAAAGAAATCCTGTTCTGTCCTCAACAAGTAGGATTGTAATTGCATACCCTGTTTGACAATGTAAACACAGTGAAATATATTACCTCCATCTGAAGGGCAGCATTTGACTCAAATAAAGCTCTAACAGCAGCATTGAGGTCCACTTGTTTCTAAAACAATATAAAATGATGTAAATATAAAAAGGTGAAAAAGAATATTCAAAAATGCAGATGATAAATTCTTTAAGCACATGACAGCTTTATTATTTTGTCCTTTTAGAAAATAATTAATTGCAAACACATTTAAAATAGGATCCTTCCTTTAATTTCCAAAAAATGCAAGTATGCATACACAAAAAGCACATTTGATTTTTATTTGTACACCCATACCCCATTTAATGATCATACTTCTGGAACCTGTTACAGATTAATGTCCCAACTTATTCCACCCAGCCATTTAATTAATATAATTAAAGAAACCAATCCAGCTATGTATGAAAAGGTGTTATTCCTTTACAGAGAAGCCCACGAAGAATATCTGAATCAGATATCATCAGCTGATGGATCACTCTCCCTCATGTATGAGCAAGTACCAAGACTGACAAACCTCCGCTAAAGGAAGAAGCCTGTTTCTTGTGTATCTTCATTCTCTGCACTTTGTGTGACATATATACCAGATCCAGCCAAAAGGTTTGTATAATTTAAAATAATGAAATCACCCACACAAGCATCTAGTTCTTGCAATTTAATCTCAGATTACATATATCGCTACAGCTTTAGGACCCTACAGATGTTGAGTTTGTCCTAACTGGCATAATCCCTTAAGAAATTAAATCTGTGTGCATATATTTACATCTATCTATCTCTATATCTATTTATGTATATATCTGTCTATGGAGAATATCTGAGCCAGAAACGGCACAAAATTTTCTGTTACTGACTTTCAGAGCATCCAAATACAGGAGAAAAACTTTTTAGAGTGTGACAAAGCTAACCTATGTCAAAAGTATGAGCATGTCCATAATAATTGCCTGTTGAGGGCTCACCAGCATGGTTGAACAGAACTGAAAGAGTAAGAAGGTTCAAAAAATGTTTTGCTGTACTGATAGATGTAGAAAAATGTATTTGCATTTCAGATGCAATGATGGAAGAAGCATTTGAGGAGGATCCTGCTATTTTGACTTTCAAAAAAGCACTGTACTAGAGATTAGGGCTGTTACAGAATTTACCCTTGGTCCTGGGGGTCCAGGGGGTCCCTGGAAAATGTAAAAAGATAGACATTAGATGCTTCACATCTTTATGTAATGCAATCACAGTGAAAAAATAAGTCATGTTTTTTTATGCACTTACAGGTGGCCCTGGCTGGCCCTGCAGTCCCTGAGGACCCTAAAAAAAACAAAGATAAAATGCAACAGTGATTCATAAACATCTCTTGTTTTAAATTTTAAATACATTTTTAAATGTATTTTTTAAATCATAAAATGCCCCAGTGTTTACAATGAAGATGATGTGATACAAGCTGTGGTAAAGCTGTAGATTATTAGTTACTGTAGTAAAGTGCCCTACTCTGTTAACACATGAATATTCCTGTTGGAATTTCTGTGTTGTTTGGTCACTTGTTTCTCCAATTACTTTTGATAGTAAGGGAACATTAAAAGTTGTAAAAAGTATTAATATATAACGTGCTATATGTTGTGCCAGTGTTATATGCATGTTGACAACATAAGTACTGCAAGAGATAAATGATCATAAAAGGATTGTAAGTAATGTTAGGGATAGTTGCAAAAAATTAACTGATCCACTTTACTCGATGAGTATGTGCTAGACGTTTACTAGTTTAATTTATTAGCAGTGTCAATTTTCAACCAGAACGTGTTATGTTCATTGTTCCACAATGATATTGCAGGTTTCCTCTGTATTTAAGAAGTTATGCCCTTATTTTCTCGTTGTAAGTAGATTAATTTTAGTGTGTAGGATAATGCAGTGAGGAGGAGAGGAGGAGCAGGAACAGCTGCTTTTCCTGAGCTCACAGTGCAAACAGCACACATAGCCTTAAATCTGAGTTTCAGGGTGCCTTAGGGTTGAACATGGGCCCTTCCAATACAATAAACCCATTTGAATTATTCTCTCTTTGATCAACTATTCACATTAAAATAAAATGATCATGAATATTTATTAATATACAATGTTAGTAGTGTCTCTGTTAGACTCTTATCTTCAATCTCCATATACGCAAAGGCTCTAGGAGCTGTTACAACAAAGAGAATAGCACAAACAATAACAGGGAAAAGAGTGGGTAGCAGTGTCTTAAGACGAGCAAAAGAGAAGAAGGAATGAAAGGCATAGGCTAGATTTGCACCTCAAATTAGTAAAACCTTTTAACACAACTGAGTCAATTCAAGCAAAACATTCTTTTGCCAGTGGTGCTTGTATCAATTACTTGAGCACAATAAGCTCTTCCAGGAAAAGCCCTCACACATCAGTATGGTCACGCTAGAACTAAATCTCTGCCAAAAGAGAAATAATCTTATGTGACATGGCCATGCTGACAAATATTGTGGAACAGTTCTAGTCAAATAGGAATTAAGTTGTAAATCACTTGATATAATAATAAGTATTCCTGCTGTGAGATTTCACAGCAAGCAAGATCTCTGTGTCACTTCATGCTACAACTTCTGAACTCAGGCTGTTCTCCAGCTGCCACCAGCAAGGACAGCTGGAAATGGTTAAAGGAAGGCCAGATTCAATCTAATATTAATTAATGTACATTTAAAAAAAGGATCTCAAAGCAGATAGGAGTGGTTTAAGTCACTAAGGCTGCAAATTTATCAGTTCTTAGGAGAATATCAGCTATGTTTCTTACTATCTCTATACACATTCCTGAGGCAGAGCACATGGTAGCTACCAGGGAATGCACCTGTCAGGGGTCACAACAATAGCTGCACAAGTTAAGTATGCCTGCCCAACACCCACCCTGGCCATGCCAGAGGGGTCTCAGGCGCTGGACAATGAAGGGTGTGAAAAGCAGGGGCCATTGTGTAATTTCTAGCACCAGATTTATGTCAGCAAGGCTATGTTGATGGACACCAAATGGCTTTGATGCCAAGATCCCTGTTTTACATGTGTTTGTTGAAGAACAGAGGAGATTTAAAACTGAAGCAATTTCTGGATGGTTAGATAGATGGATTTCTGATACTTAACCAAGAAGACCTTAACAGCATAAGATCCAGGGATTGTAAATATTGTTCACTTCTCAACTGATACATCTTGACCTTATTTATTTATGTTTCATCCACTTACACCCAAAGAAGGGACTGTAAGCCACCTTTTATGTAAATATTTACTGATGAACATCTTTATAAAAGATGTTAATGATTAATGTTGGAAAATGGAAATTAAAGAGTAAGTCATATTAGCATATGAAGTACTAGTAGTGTAGAAATCCCTGTAGGTTCTGTGTCAAGCACTTAGCTTCCCTTTACTCTTCTGAGTTTGATTATTGCCCAGCTTGAAATTTTCTTTGAATCCTATTACTATTAAATACACATAAAATATTGCTGCTATTCATTATTAGAAAACTAATACGAATTTGCAGAGATTACATTCACTATTTTGGCATAGTTCCTCAGCTGTTGCAAGTCAACTGAGTTTTGCAGAACCACATTGTTGTATGCCAGCTGAGAAGGCTGACTCCAAATTTAATTAATCAGATCAGCAGCTCAGGTGCTGTTTGACTGCTCCAGGATACCTTCAGTCTCATGTGAATATATTATTGGACCTTCTGATCATGCTTAGCAAAGTAAGTTTAGTATAAAATTAAAGAGACAGTGGGAAAAAGAAAATTGAGAAACGAATTTGACATTGTGAGGATATATTTGTTTATCTTGGTTCAGGACTTGATTATGCAAATACCAAGTCAAGGCAAGGCACAAAGTCTTCAACAGTTTGTCCCTAAGTAACCACTGGTCTCTGATGAATAGATGTCCTTGTTCTGAGTGCTGAGATTTAGACATTCCAGTAGATTTTTCAGATGACTGAATGCTCCAGTTAATGTTCTATGTTCTTGGCATGTGCTACAATTTTAAGACTCAGAAAGTCTTGGGAAAAGAACAGCTCAAATTTATAGTGGTTTCTGAGATAAAACTGAATGTTTTGAAAATAAAACCCTACACTGTTCCAGTGAGTTTAAGGTATTTTGCAAAAGAGGAATGCCAATTGTCTTGATTCACTATCTTCTTGCCAATAAAACCCATGTGAAAAAAGAGAAATACTGAATGCTATTTGTTGACTATAGTGAACTACTTGGGGAAATATTACATTTCTTACACGCATTAAAACTTCAGAGGGATGTATCAATTATCTTTACAAACCTTTAAAATATAATGAAACTGCACAGAGTGCATTGAAAATTCTATAGGGATTTTACCAATGCTCCTTCTTTCTGCTGCATGGCACCAAAATAAGGTTAAATTACACTTCTCATGGACTAAGTTAATTGCTAAGTGTTTTGCTGGAATGTACAGGATTACCTTTACAAATCTACTTAATTTGCCCTTTGATCGCATTAGAGTTTAAGTGTGAAAAGTGTAATTCCAGTTCATAAAAACAAAAGCAGAGACTAAACCAGTTACTTTCAGTGCACTCTTTAATTCTTTAATCACCCTATTTGATTGAGCAGAAGTTCAAAGGCCAAAGTCCCAATCTGTTTCTAATTCAACAAGGTCTTAATTTTATATGCAATGATACCTGAAAACATGAGCAATCCCAAGGACCTCCATATTTTCCAAGACACTTGAAATTTTTGAAGACTGTAGTTTAAACAAAAAATATTAATGTTAAGCTTTCCCTGACCACTTTTGTGATCTTGATGTTATGTCACCATATTTCATAGTGTGTAAAGCCTAGTAACATCCTGCAATATAATAGTCTGATATACAATAGAGTTTAGCAGCTGGCATTGATGATTGTAAACCTAAAATAAAATATGATAATAGAAAATATTATGCCTTATCATATCATATCTTTTTTCAACTCGAGGATAATCACAGAATGGAATGCATTACCCAACGAGATTATTCAATCTCCATTCTTGGGAGTTTCCAAGACTTGGGTTAATAAAGCCCTGAGTGATGTGGTCTGATCTCAGCCCGGATTCTTTTCTGGACCAGCTTCCCATTTAAATGTCTTGAGATCACTTACAACCTGGATTATCTTATGGTTGTATATTATAATTGATTAGGTGACATGCCATGAAACAAAAAACATTCAGAAAATGAAAATTCACTTTCAGAAATGTCAGAATCCTGAAACAATAATCCTAAGTGTATTCCATGTCCAATCACAATGAAATTATTATTTTGAATTGAAAAATTGTTTCAATAATTATTGATTAAATTTTTATTAAGATTTTTCAATGAACTCTGTTTCTGACTATCCAAAAATGGCCTACAGGACATGAGCCTTGTTTCACCACTGATCTCAATAAAAAGACATGATTTTACCTTCCATTTTCCAGGGGATAAAAGGACATTTTTTTGCTAGTAATGAACACTGTAACTCAGAGAGACTAAAAAATATAACTAAAACTTGGATAGTACAAAAAGGTTAAAATCTATGTAATTCTAGGAAGAATGCCAATATAAATTTTAGAAGTATAAATAAAAGCTCAGAATACACAGTTGGATGAAAATAATTTTCTCTCCTTTGTATCTGAAAATAGTTGGAAATAAATCCCTCGTTTTTTGGGAAAGTAATGCCACTGTATATGATTTAAAATTAAACATTCTTGTTCTGAGGACAGTCTTACTGGATTAACTTATCTTGATGAACTCAAGAACGTTTTTAGGAATTAACTTCTTAAACACCAGCACCAATAATGGAAACGGATGTTTCTTGTTCATTGTTTTGAATGAGTTTTATTGGTTTTTCAAGCGTCAGCACTTTTAGCTCTATGCTGTCATAATAATTCTTATGAACAAACAGTAGAAAAATGTTAAGATGGATAACAGCAGCAGAAATTAAGAAACTAGTTTTTCTCTTATTCTGAGATAGCAGATGCCTCAAGAGCATTAGGACCAAAGAGAAGAGCATTAGTATCAAAGAAAAAAGGTCTCCAAGACATATAGAATAAGCTTAGTTCCAAGTTTTAATTCCTTAAGATATTAATAATATTTCTGTTTTATTTTTCAACATTTTAATAAGTCAGATTGGAGTTTTTTACAGGTGGCTGCTAAAAGCAAAATATAATAAGAAGAGTGAAACTAAATTATTTTAAATGAGATGGGGTGAAAGACAGGGTCAGAGTTACAGGAGCAAGATCATATCTGCTAGTTAATGAAAAAGGAACGAATACATCTGCTGTGTAAGGTAATATCATAGTTACCAAATTTGAGTTCATATTTGCTGTAAACATGGTAACTTAATGGCTTTAAGTTCACATAGCCATGATTAATAGGAGCTTTTACTAACTCACACAATTTTAAAATTAAATCCAACATTTATTAACATACAAGAACTAGTGTAATATTCTTACTGAAAGATGAAAGACAGCAAGGTCATAACCTATCTGCGCTGCCTACTGTTCCTACAGTTGGTGTACATTGCATGGACACATCCTTATCCATCAGGACAAGGTCTAGTCTTCTCCTGAACTTCTCCCTCTCTAGAGACAGTGATACAGATCTATGAACATGTGCATGCATTCTGGGAGGCACTGGAGCATTGACAACAAATGCAACAGAAGATTTTTCTTTTAGGTCTGAACTAAGACAGATTTGGAGTATGTGCCTGCTCTGTGATCACTTGCCCAACAGCTCACAGTCACTGGTCATATCTATATAAGTTAACTCTAACAAGAAAGGGTTAGATTGTTGACACTTGCTAACAGCTTTCTTGGCCAGTGCTCTCCCAGAGCACAACACAACTGCCTGGCATTCAGAGCATGCAGGAGTACACTCAGTGTAACATATGAATAGTTTTTACACAGCCAAAATTATGGAAGCACAAAATTGTTTCATCTTACCATTTCACCCCTTGTGCCCTTTTCACCTCTCGGTCCCTGTAAGAAAGAGAAGCTGTTAATCCAATATACTTTCTAGATGCCTACGACCGAAATAAGCAGATTAATAACCAAGCGAGTTATACTACTCGCATGAAAAGTAGTCCAGTCTCATCTGTGGAAGTATTTACAACTCTGGGGGTTTGATTTTTCTGTACTACTAGAAAACTAAATTACTTGAAAACATTTTACAATTTCTGTTTATGGAAAGTTGTTTTCTTCAGCTTGCAAATATGATTTTTCCCCATAAATGTTGTCCCTGTCAATCAGCTATATTCCCCACAATTTCATCCACTGTAAAACATCAGCGGTTCACCATCTTAAGAGCAGGGAACAAAACTCAGTACTCCCCATCACTGAAGAAATATATTCATCACATATAAGGTTTTCTTATGCTATTAGTTTTCCTCTCACAATCAGATTAGACACAGTTTTTCTGACATTTTTGGCTAGTTTTGCACTTAAACTGTTTCCAAGGATGGCAACAATCTTACAGTTCTTTCCTGGAAGAATTTTGTATCTTGATGGCTGCATTTCATAACACGTAAGTAATATTCAACTATAATGCTTTTTGAGTGATAATGACAAAGTATTATATTCAATATGAAGTCTATTGAAAGCCTTCATACAAGTACACACAACTGTAAAGTTTTTCTCCTTGGTGCAATTGAAAAGAATAGAGCAAGATTTAAAGCACTGTTTTTCCCAGCAAGTGGAAAGAATTGTAGATGGAACATTAACCTTCTTTTTCACTTGTGAATATTTGCATTTATTACTTTTGTGTATTTGTTATTTTTATGATTATTTCAGTTTCTAGATATTCTCATCTGCTCCATGCCTAGTTCATCAGAGTAACCTGCATGGTCCAAAGAGCTTCTAAAATTACCTTGCATGGTTGGGTAGTCATAAGACATGAGCCATGGGGTTTTCTCTTGCAAAACAAATCTGGCTCTGGCACTGGGATTGTGACAACTGATGGAAATGGGGATGAGGACAGAGCTTCCCCACTGCAGGCAACTTGGGGTGCATTGAAGGTTGTCAGAAAGGCTGAGATATTTGAATTGTAACAGGGACCTCATCATGTAAGGGAAGACCCTTATAAGGGTTTGTGGGCATTCCCAGAGTATCTAGAGGGGCACTCTGGACAGTTCAGCTCACAACATATAAATTATATTGAAATCAAGTGTGATACTCTCTAGATATCTCAGATCTAAGGCTGAGAAAGAATATCCAGGTGGCAGTTACTATGTGCTGTTTTACACCTTGACTTGCTCCCTGCCCCTGTAGGCATGCCCTCTGTGTCCTGTACTTTGACAGAAGGCCATTGCAATGTCTTTGTCATAGGCTCTTGTAATTTTTTTTCTTGTATTACAGATGCTGGAGTCACACACATTAGCTCACTTGTACGGTATAAAAAAAGGAGGTCCGATTGGCTATATGCAAACAGAAGAAATCAGAAGGTTGCTAGTTGCAAAAGAAGATTACTTAATGAAAGGGTAGGTGAAATAAACAAATTACGCCAAAATAAAGGGAAACTTACAGGCCTGCCAGTTGGGCCTGTTATGCCTTCTTGACCAACAGGGCCAATATATCCCTGTAAACAAGCAAAGAATTTATTAGTCCACGGTATTTACAAAATTAAGAAAATCCCTATGACACATTCTGGTTTAAAGTTGCTCAGGACATAGCCTTGTCAAATATCCAAAAGATCATGGTGATACTCTCTTTCTAAATATTGAGTGCACATTGCAACAAAATCACTAAGGTAAGTAATTTAAGAATTGCAATAGTTGTGGTTGGAAAGCCCACATACATTATTTAATGTGAAAGTTGATGCACTAAAAACAGTGGAAACTTAAGCGCTCTGATTACAAAAGACTATGTATTTATTGAGCTACAATCAACCATATCTTAAGCTATATTACTGGCCACAAATAGTCTTGTAAGGCTGCCAGTAAGTGCTGTTAAAATGTTACTTTCCTGTTCCATTTCATTTAGAGCAAACTGCTCATGTCCAGTGTTTCTCTTGTATAGGAATATTTAGAAAAATAAGGCAGCTATTAGAACAGGCACCTAAAGCTGCTGTTATGCATCTGGTTTACTGAACAAATTTCAGTTCTGTAGTGGCAATGGCAGTAGAGAGAGAAGAACATTTTGAACTAAGGTCTTCTATGCTGCAACCTTTCCTCTTACAAAACTTGATGCTGTAAGCTGGATGATAAAAAGAAAATATTAAAGAAAGACTGCCTATTAATCAATAATGGCTGAGCACCACTCTATCTTACTGCAGGCAAAGTTTGATCCTTCTCTCTTTTGCTGTAGGACAGAGTTATGGAATCAGCACTTTTGCCAGTGAGAGGAAATTTCAACCCCAATAGACAAATATATGCCAGTCATAAGATTACTTGTGCAGACGAAACTATGCTAGGAGAGCCACAATTAGTAAGTAGAGCTTGCCTTTTTCTTTCAATATTAAAAACTTGTGTGTCTCTAAGCACGTTGCAACCAGAGCAGCATTGCAGCACAAGTAAAGTGCTTCTAGAAGAGTCAGAATCTCAGACAGAAAGGTTTTGTTAAGGGTTCTGGCCTTGTTAATAAGAAAAAAGATGGTTTTCAGAGTTAAAAATGTATGCCACGTGCAAACCACGCTGACAATCTCTTTCATGGATTGAAACACTTACAACTTGGCCTGTTGGACCTTTTGGGCCCAGAATTCCAACTAAGCCAATGTCCCCTGCAGGACCCTGAAAATGCAAAGGAACAATTTAGTCAAATATGGACATTAGCTATCCACATGTTTCAGTCTCTTGTAATCAGTGAAAGTACGATAATTGCTAAGAGTAGTAACAGTGAAAATACCAAGTGCACTGACACAGAATATTTATCCTTAGACATGGAATATGCAGTTCTGCCTGTCATGTTCCAACAGTTTAGAGGTATTTTGAACAAATTACTGTTAAAGATGATTAATTCTAATCTTTCCTAATGTTTTCTCTCCCTGTAATGGCTTAAATCTAACAGAAAAGAACAAGCACATACTTTTGGACCTGGGAATCCTTGAAACCCCATTAAACCTTGATCTCCATCTTCTCCCTGTAATAGGAGCAGGCATCCTTACTATTATTTCATGTTTGTAACTCTTGGGCTACCTGTTTTGCATCAACATCTGTGATTACATACAGTCTGTCCTTTCAGTCCAGGGTCTCCTGCTGGTCCTTGGTCACCTTGTGATCCTGGAAGGCCTCTTTTTCCTCGCTTTCCTGGATGACCTAGAAGTCCTTTCTCACCCTGTAAATAGGAAGAAAATATAACTTCTATTACAGTTGTGAAAGATATAAGTGTAAATATGTCTTTCGTGTCAGAAGTGTGGAACACACTTTCTCTCTAAGAAATAGACTTACTGCATTCATTTTATTTCCCTCAAAAATGCTTTCAATAATTATACATACACAGAAATGCAGATGTGACTTGATTGCCGCTTGATTTGGAAACATGAAACCCATACATGTTGAATCAATTCTAGTATGGTATCTCCCAGTGTAAGCAGTAAAATTCACAAAATGAAATACAGAATAGACAGGTTAAAAGTAAATTTTAAAAGTAATCCTCTGAGCAAGACGTAGCATACTTGTGGAACTCCCTGCTGTTAGACTAGAAATCTACATTAATTCAAATGGAAACTAGAAAAGTTACTACAAGATAAATCCCCTCAGGATTATTAAATACATAGAAATCATGTCTAGCTCAGGAGGTTACTGAGCTGCAATAAAAACTGTGAATATACATGTTCCTTGCTTTGTGCTTATGCTCTTCCCTAAGTTTTACTTTCTGCTGTAACAAAGACAGTCTTTTGGTCTGACTTGGTATGTCCACTATTAACGCTTATTTGGTAGTATATGTGGCAACAGTTTTTCCTCAACTCATCTATTCCTTGCATGCACTTCTGAGCAGGAACTACCTCCTACAACACGTTGTCTTGACAAAGAAGTAAAATTCATATTGGGAGCACTTGCAATAAACACTGCAAATAGTGAATACAGTTTGTACTAAAATATTTTCATGAAAATATAACAAGGACAGTATTTGCAGTTCTAAAGTAATTCCAGGTTTTAAAGAACTGCTTATCAATAAAATCTCACAGAGCATGCAAATCGTGATTTTAGACAAAAAAAATCTATTCTAAATGAAGAAAATTATCTATACTGTTTCCACTGTTTGATTATTTTAAAATTGAAATTAGTGTAATTAATTTAAGGGTATGCTGATGTCAGGTACATGGAACTGCCTGGAAAATGGAGCACACTCAGTTTTATTTCTTTCTGATAGGACTGAACAAGAACAGTTTAAGTCCTATGATAAATGGATGTCCCAGGTGAGTCATTAACTCCCAAACTTGAGACTTAGGCTTGAAATTATAGTACTTCTCTGCTGATAGGTTGCTCAGATATACATTATCCCAACTGTTCCAGTAGCTACAGAAGTTTAGAGATAAAAGTCAGGAAACATTTGGCTGTAAAGCTGGAGTGAGTAAATAAAAAGTGCTTTGAACAGCTTCTGGATTTGGGAACAGCACCTCTATTTTCAAATTACAGTTTATGGAGATGAGGTCAGTGCAACTTGTAGTCCTAGCCGTCAAGTAAGTCCTGACTTCAGTGACTCGAATGATTAACAGTAGTATGGTGATTCCACAGTCAGTGACTGCAGTATGAAGACTAAGCAACATCAGTAACATTGTACTTAAACAATAAGATCCTATGTGTGTACCTTTAGTCCAGGTGCTCCCATGGGCCCTGGAATGCCTGACAATCCCTTGGGACCTCGAGCTCCAGGATAACCTGCCAGACCTGGCAAGCCTGGGTTTCCTTTATTACCCTTAACAAATTGAAAATAATGAATTACAAGCAGAACAGCCGAACATGTTTTTTCACTGTATGCTAAAACAGGCTTTTAACATAAAATCAGTCAAAACCACTTAATGCTTTCTGTATACATGGACACACACAGATAATACGTCAAAATACATAGAAAGACTCTGATAAGCAGTATCGTCTATATTTCTGTTAATATTCCAAAAGTAAAAGGCTGAAAATATGGTTGAGATTTACAGTATTCATTTTTCAAGAAGTAACTTCACATGAGACAAAATAACACTACCTTTCCAGAGAAACATTCAGAAATCAACGTTTGTTTCTAAGTATCAGGCATAATGAATATTTCTTTGATGTAATGTAGTAGAATACGTGTATAGATATCTATTTTTTTTATTTCATATGACATTCATTTATGCACTTAAAAAATGAAAGGTTTATAGGAAATAAGATTTTCATATTAAATGTGATTTTCAGGGCTTTTGAATGTGATGCTGTGGCTTATAGACCAACGGACTTACAAACTTACATAGCAAAAGTTCTGTTTTTTTATTCATTGTGACAAAAATCAGTTATAAGCATCTCCTTTTAACAGGTTGTAATGGGGTACTGGAGTCATCTTTAATATGATTGTATGACATTTTCAGTGGAAATGCAAAAATATAACAATTCTTTGGGATGATACTCCTAAATCCAACTCCAAAGAATTTTAAGAACTTGGATGAGGTTCGTGATCTGAAACTGGAGAGGCTCGAACAGGGTACACCTGCCCCCTATGTTTAATTCTGTCTTTGTTCAACCAGATTGAAAATTCATATCTGTAACAACAATGCCTCATTCAGCACCTTAATTAATCCCTAACACTAAATCCAACTTGGCAACCTTTTATAACAGTTGCTGGTCCATCTAAGTAGAACTACCGAGAAATACCATACTTGAAATCAGAGTGATCAGATTTTCAATTATGAGAATAACTAAAGGGATTTTTTCCCCCTCTCCGGAGGGACTGACCAAAAAACTGAGTCACTACTCCCAGAGGCACCAGGTCACCACCTTTGGCCCACAGGTGCCAAAGAACAGTCAGACAAAAAACCTGTTTCCAAGAATGCTTCCACATACCTTTTACTCTTTTTCACTGATTTTGGACAAAGCTTCAGAATTATTTAGGTAGAGAGGCATAGGTTACAAATTCAAAGACAATAAGGAAAATGTAGGATTATCTCAGAGCTTGAGAGGAAACAGTCCCAGTTGGGATCTAGGGTTCATTTTTGGGAACAGAAACGTGCAGCCTCTCTGAATCAGAAATCATTTTTACTGATCTGTAGTTACTACTAACACACACTAATGGAATAGTTCTTCTCACAGCATACTTCCCTTATGCTAACTTTATATCCTGGCCAGAGTATCAGGAGTACAAAAGAAAGAAAACAAAAGGATTGGTCTAATTTTTAAGATGCTGAAGAAACTGAGAATGGTTCTTCCTTTTTAAATACCTAACCTTAGAAAATCTGTAATGCAAAATGACATAGAGGCAATGCGGCAAGTAACTTACCTTAGGGCCAGGCTTCCCCAACAGCCCAGTCTTGCCAGGGTTCCCAGGAATGCCTTCTGGTCCAGGGTACCCAACTGCTCCTTTCTGCCCTGCTGGCCCCGGTTTTCCCTTGAAACAAATTTAAACCAAATATAGCACTTCATCATCACACAACTAGACTTCAGTCACAGAAAGAGATGCAAGTAGATCCGGAAAGAACATTAAAAATTTCAGTTAAAGGCAAGCAAGAGAAACAATTAAACCTCAAGGAATCTACCACATGTATCCATCATGGATGTATGGATCCAAGCTTCTGTGGGCTGCAGCTGTTCTAAGAACTGATGGGGCTAGGAGTGAACAGTAGTACAGCTCTGTGCAGTATAATGTGATAACCTCCAAATGGACTACAAGCCACATGCAAAAACGATCTAATTAAGTAACTTTACAAGAGGGAAAGACCTTGTTGTTCTATTAGTGGCACCTCAATTCCATATGCTGAGCATAATTCAGTATAATTCAATATAATTTCAAAAATTATTAACATTCAAAAGTGACAGGGGTTCCTTTACACTTCCTGGATAACAAGAAGGTTCCTTAGAGTGAACATAAGACCTGCAGGTACCACGGCCTGACTCAATTTTGGTTTTATTTTTACTAGTATTTTCTTTGTTTTATAACCTGAAAATAGAGTTTAGAATTTTGTTACTTACAGGAATTCCAGGTTTGCCTGCCTGACCCACCGCTCCTTTCTTCCCTGTGGGACCCTAAAAGTTACAAACACTTGTGAACTGACAAATGTTTTAAACTCAATCCCTTAAGTGCTGAAGATTGTTGCCCTCTTAATATGCATGTTCACATTGCCTGGCTAGGAACCAGACTACTTCCATTTCAGGAGACAGAAGAAAGTTTTTCAAGTAAAAGTGAATAAATTTCCGGTAGAATTGTATATATCTTTTCCCTTTATGAATCAGTATAGTGTAGTTTTCATAACTTTTTCCAGCTAGAGGCATAAAATATTTTTCATTATGAAGCTGGCAATTTCTTCTCTTTCAGCCACCCCTGTGTGAGGAAGTAAACTTTTACAACATCTCCTGTACTCTTTAAAAGGGAAGTCACGAAAAGTAGGCAGTGTAGACACACTAAGTGTCTGTGAAAGAGAATACTGGAAAACAACAGTGTCACATATGGGAACATTATTTTTATCTAAGATGTACAAAAAAGATAAAATTTACTTAAAACCTTTTTTTTTTTCCATATTGACTGATCTAGAAATCTGTAGTCTCAGAAAACTGAGCAATACTGAGCAGACAACATTCTTGCAAGTGGTTTAGTGACCAGGAGGCCAAGCATCAAGGAAAAAAAGCTTCTCAGAGAACTTTGTTTATAGGATATTCTCCACAGAATATAAAGATCTATGTCATTAATTTTATCCTCCCTCTAAAAGATGCAGTGACTGGACAACAGGGACAAGAATAATGTTTGTTAGCATAGAACAAGTAGAAAAAAGCTTTCAAGATTTTCCAGATTAATTATTTTAAACACTGTTCATTAAAGCAGAAGTTATACCAAACTACTATGCTGCAATAAGACAAAACATGCAATAAAGTGAAAAAGCTTGGGTCACTGTAGTTGTAAATGTTTTATAATTTATGTAAATAAGACAAAAACAGAAAATGCTGTTCTATTCCTTAATGTAATGCCTTTTTGTTAAGAACTGGATAAAAAAAGTCCACCAATCAGAACTGGAATGAGCATAATCAAAGAACTTAATATGGTTTTCATTACAATTTCTGGATGCGTAAACCCAGATGATTCAGCATTACAGGTTATGGGATTACCTTTGTAAGGCTTTCTATAGCAACACCAGTAATGCCAGTGGCTGCTCCGACCTGGATATTGGTTACACATTTGTAAAAAGGCAATAATTATCTGAGGAGCATTTGCAATACAAAGAAAACATTCTCCAAGAGAAATTACTGATTTTATCCTGTGCTGTGAGTAGTTTGTCAAAGGCAATATGTCTGAGTGCAGGGCTAGAGTACATGCTGACAACGTTTTCACATCATGTTTTGTTTCTGTTGCTCCCCAGTCCTAGTCTACTACAGATTGTTGTAGTTACCTAGAAAGTTTTGGAACTCCAACATAGTTGCTCCATGGAACTTCTCACACAAAATATCTCATTTAAATTGCAATGGCAATTGGTATTGCTAGAAATCTTTTAGCCTAAATCTTTTGAAATCTCAAAAGCCAATGACATGCAGCCCATGAGAGAACATAAAACACTTTTGCCATTTTTAAACACATCACTGAGACAAGTTATTATTTCTAAAGGGAAAGACTTCAGTTTTGATATTTGTCATGACTTGCTCTCTCATTATGCCTCTAGTATTCTGTAGCAAATTCCTTATTTCCACATTCCTGAAAACTCAGCGCAGTGTAGTATCAGGAGGCTTCATTTACAGATCAGAGAAGCAAAATCCCAGGTGCCTTCCAGAGCTACTTTGCCACAAAGAACTCCACTTAAGGGTATAGTTGAATATGTTTCCAAAAGAGCCTCTTGTAAAGCTTTATATCAATCCAAAGTAAAACCACTTACCTATCAAATAACAAACACTTACTATCCCAGACCAGTATGCAATTTTCCATTTTATATTTTTGTTTTCCCTACAGGTATGAAAAGGAAACCCAAACACTCAGTTCTAGCCTTAAATAACAGTTTTCCAAGGATAGTCAGTCAACGGTAAAAACACACAAATCCCAATTAAGTGCAGTTTTGCTTTGCTTTTTTCTACTTACTCCTGAACCTCTTTCTCCTTTTGGTCCTTGCTCTCCCAATTCACCTGGTTCTCCCTTTGAAAAAAAAAAAATTAAATGAAAATAATTTGAATGCAGATAAAACCATATTTTCAACAGTCAATATATAAATCTCACTTGTTTGAAACACTTACTGGAGGCCCTTGTTGTCCAATAGGTCCTCTAAGCCCTGGAAGGCCTATATGACCCTAGGAAGGAGAAAATATAATATATTACAATACAAGTATCTCAGCCTGTCATACCCAGTGAGCTATAGACTTCCTTGTAAAGCCCATCTTGGGGCTGCTGGGTGGACCCAGATTCACTGATATGACTCAGATAAAGTACAGTCAGATCTCCACAATCAAACCTTATGGAGCTTTTATTCGCTAAATTCTCTACTCCAAACCGCAAGAGGGAATTACACATGGTTTAAACATTTCTGCATAGATTCAGTTCATTCATTTATTCCTATGTCTATCTGTATTATCTAGTGGAACCCTCCTCCTCAAGCAGGAGGAGGGTAGAAAAGATTGCCCAGGACCATGTCTAGTCACATTTTGAGTATTTCCAAAGATGGAGACTCCACAACTCTCTAGGCAGCTTTTTCTGGTGCTCAGTCATCCTCACAGTAAAAAAAACATTTCAAATGGAATTTCATGGGTTTCAGTTTTTGCCCTTTGCCTCTTGTCCTGTCACTGGACACTACTGGGACAAGTCTGTCTCCTTCATGTTCATTCCATCCCACCAGGTATTTATACACAGTAGGGTCACTCAGGTCTTCTCCAAGTCATGAGTTTTAGGTCTCAATTTCTCATATGAAAGATGGTCCAAAGTGTTTTAAGAGTTCATCAGTAAGTACATCTCTGCACACTTGTGAGAGATGATGATACTTCTACTACATTACTCCACATGTATGCATAGCGTGCCATGCTCAAATAAAAAGAATATAAAGCAAGAGGTATTACCTTGTAGCCCTCATCACCAGGTTCTCCTCTATCTCCCCGTTCACCACTGGGACCCTAGAGAGAAAACCACAGAGCAATATAACAGCTGAACTGAAAGAACGCTGCAGTGAAGAACAAAAAGAAAGCTGGGATTTCTCTCAAAACAGACTAATCAATGACATGGAACTGAGGAATATAAATATTAAAGTTGGCTAAAGGAATAAACATGAATAAACATGGTTTTTTTCTAAACAAAATGCATTGCAATCAGACAGTAGCCACTGTCTAAAATATTTTGTAACTGAAGATTAGAAGCTAAGAGATCAATTTACATGGGTCTAAATGAAACAAGAGCATTGACCTCAGTAGAAATTCTCCAGGTTTATACCCATGTATAAGTATATATGATATCTGAATTTAAAATCTGAATGAATAAATAAAGAGAGTGTTTTCAAGAAACGCAAGGAAAACTCTCTTTTGGTTTCTGTAAGACAGCACATTAAAAATGGGGTTCTCTTCTGAAATTACTTGCCATACTCAAAATCTGCTTTAATCTTGAAGTTTGTCTGAATATAAAGGCAATTTCAATCCCTCAGCATGCCTCACACATGAGAGAGCTGCACTGGAGGAGAGGGAATAGCATGATTTTTGTGATTGATGTGATTCTTCCTGCTGCATTCAGACACCTCACTAGCTCTACTTTAGGGAAAGGCCCTTACTCCAGTCCCACAAGGAATTGGATTTTCCCCCAGAATTTTAACTCTCACTGTAGCAAATGCACCAAATTTAAGTCAAAGGAAAAAATACAGGATAGGGAATCACACCCATAAAAAGTAAGAACGGCTGAGTCTTTCCAAAAGACATTCAGCCAACTATTAGATGAAATAATAAGCGACTGTGTCTTTCCCACCTGACTTAAGCAAAGGCAAGTGCCCAGGCAACACTAACTGCAACGTATCTTTACAGTTGACATATGGATAGATCAGTCACTTCTAGTGCATATGCACCAGGAGATACTACTGTGTAACTGCTTGTATACTCTCCAAAGTTTCAGCAACCTCATGGTATGTTTCCTACAGGGAATCCCACCAGGTGAAAGGGCCCCTCTTCCAAGGTTTGAGCAGTCAGCATTACAGAGGCAGTTTGGCTACAACAGAATGCAGTTCTTTAAATCAATTAAATCAGTTAGCAGTGATAATGAAATAAGTCAAAACATGTTTTTTGTTAGTAAAGCAATTAGGTGTAATTAGAGCAAACAGAGAGGGTAAAAATCTCTTCCTAAATGTGCTGGCCTACACACAGACTAATGGCATTTGTGTAATTAAATAGAGGGCACATAAACTTAAGCAGGAAAGAGCATATGACTGCATTTTTCAGAGAGAGATTACACATCAAAGGATCATTTTTGTGCGAGGGGTTATTGACTCCTGAGACAGGGATACAAAGCTTCAGAAAGAACAGCATTGGTTCCTGTCTCGAGATGCACTAATATAATTTGTTTGAGAAAGAAAGACCTACTGGTTCACCTATGGGCCCTGGTGGTCCAAGGACTGTATTGTCTTCGCCTGGGTAGCCCTAAACCAGAGATAAGTATTAAAAAATGTTAACTTGGAAATTCAACCTTGTCTACCATGCACACAAGTTTTAATGCTAATAAAAAACAGAGAGCACACTGTATAGATGCTAAAAGTGAATATGATGCTTATGGTTCTAATACAATGGAAATCATAACTTCATTTTAACATTTACCTAAATGTCCCAAAGACATTTAGGACTAAAAATGATAGGTATTTGCTCTATTCTCCAAGGTAGTTAAAGAAAAAAAAAAAGTATTTCTTTATGTAATGAAAAAAAAAAGCATAAACAGGATATTTAGCAAGTGGAAAAAATTTCTTCCACTATTTTGAGAAACACACTTACTATAGAAAAACAAGTGTACAGAAGACTCCAACATTAAGCCTGAACTCCATTAAATTTTAAATGTGAAACAACTGCCATCCAAGCTAATAAACAAAAAGTTATCTATTGCAGATGATACTTAGCAGTATTAAATGCAAAGAGACTCACGTTTTAAATATGATTCAGAGTTTTTAAAACACATTGAAATGCCTTTTCAGAAGTGATCAAGCATCCTAGACACCTACGTTCCAACAATTTAATTTTCATTTATTGTTTCTGAAAATGGTATCAAAACCTATTTATAACATCAACCATCAAACGCCTCTTAACAGTATTTATTGCAAAACTGGCCCTAGTATAAGAACATATTTCTCTGTCAAGTGCAACTCCAAATCCATCTTCATGAAGTGAATCCATGTACCTGCTTGGGGTCCCACACACTTCGGTCAGGATACAAATCTGTTTGCAGGACTTGAGACTTAAAAGAACAACAGTAAATCTGACACTAAAATAGCAACAGAGGCCACATCCTGTCCCTAACATTTTAAATTAACCACAGACATTTGTCCATCTCAGTTGGACTTCCAGGCAGATCTGTGGGTGTACTCACAGACTTAGAGTTAAGTAAATATTTAGCTGGTTCTGCACTGATTATTTTTGTCAGCAGCGCTCACTAAGGGCAGTGGTGCTATCTGATACAATAGAATGAGTTTCTTACAATGGGTACTTTGTGTTTTAAAACCTCAAGCTTTTTAATAATATAATTTGGGACTCCATCCCTGAATGATCCATTTCTCCAGTTTGCATTTCTTTTCCTATTCTCTCACAATACTAACAAATACTGCAAATTTTCTGGCTTTTTCTGTGTGCCACCGAAAATAGAAGGCATGTAGTAAAGTTTCCTCTGTTCGTTATTTCACAAACTGTAGGAAAGCAAAACCCATCTTCATACCTTTTCTCCTTTGGGGCCTGGAGGTCCTGTAGACCCTGGAGAACCCTGGTGACCCTAAAGAACCAAACCAAACTAAAATTAGTTCCAAAACAAATAATTAAAGAAATAAATAATTCCAAACTTTATTTTAGCTGCTTGTAACTATTGTTCTAGTTTTTTCTCTGCTTGTCAATAATTCTAAATCATGATATGAAAACAAAATCAATGGACCCAGGAAGAAAATGGATTGTGTAGAGGAAAAGCTCTGTGCACAGTGGGAAATCACAGGTTCTGGCAGGGCTTAGTACAGGTGAGGGGAGCTGGGCTGGTTTTTGCTTCAGGGTTAGAGTCACTGATGGATGTTTGTGTTTGGCAAAGACACTGGACAGTATGGCCTGTAAGAGCAGAACTCAGTCAAGGACTTATGATGACAATCATGACTATTTTTCAGTGAAAGCCACAATATATTTATGTCCTTCAACTAACCTCATTCTATCAGTTTCTGTTACTAAAATGGAAACTGCCTGACCAGACAGTAAGCAGAGGTTGTGGTGTTTGCTGAACTCTCTTCATAATGGATAGCTGTAGTAGTTTCACAGGAACTTTATTCACAAGGGGTGAGATACACTGGACAAACAAGGGTTTAAAATCAGTGGTAAAAAACCTGCTAGTGAATGCACAAAATCCAGTCATCTTTGCCTAAGGCTAACATTTCTGAATAGGCAATCATGTCATATAAACATATATGAGTATCTGTCTTTCCTAAAGATATTTGTGTAGTCTAGATACGGATCCCAGTGATAGTTGAATTATTAAAGTACCACTTTGGGATGTGTGTGTACATGAATTCAGTAAAAACTCACCCCATAACCTGGAATTCCTGACTCTCCTTCAGGCCCCATTCCTCCTGGGTGTCCCTGTTAAATGCAACACTCAGTGAGAGAAAAATGAACTCTTTTGTAAAGTGTTACAACAATGTCAACTTTATAAAGTCACCACTTGGAAAAATCTTCAAATATTGCCATTTGACATATACACAACTTTCTTGTTGGGTCCAACTTAATTTACTAAATAATAATGGGCTTTTCCCTGTTCTGTGGAAAAAATTATTGACGTTTTCAGTCCTAATATTATAATCCTTGTGCATAATTAAGATATATAAGGATCTGAGCTTTCAGAGGTATGGAACTCTGCCTGTAAATGCTAGTATGCCAAGAGAAGCTGGGGGTGATCATCACCTTAGGAAGCTGAGTCCTTCTCTTGAATATATTGGCCATTAGATAGTTAACTTTACTTCTGCACTTCCTGTGTTCAGGAACACACTGCTGCTTTCAGTGGTCACAGGATTGGGCCCTGAATCACTGAGACAGGCATGCTGCCTCTCTGGATGTGTCTGTGCATCTGTCATGCAGTGTGGAACAAGCTTTGGGAGCTTATTATGGAAACAAACTTAATTCAGTTGACTTTGGATGAGATTCCCATTTAACAGAGTGTCAATCTTCATCCAAAATGCTTTGTTTCAGCCATGGCTGAATATGGCATGTTATAGCAAACCCCACGATTTCTATTTTTGGAACTGGGAAGGTTTAATAAATAACCATAGCAGTGAGGTTATATGTGAAGGGTGGGGCATGAGTATTCCATGGAGTGCTCTGCCATCCCACTCCTCTGACTGTCAGAGGACCAAAGCTTAAGACAACTCCTTTCAGATCCATGCCCCAGGTTTCTGCCTGGAAAGGTGCACAGGTCTTGTTCTGATGCTGAAAGACCATGGGACACACAGGATGGGAAGGACACTCCCTGCTACCTCAAAACTATTTCTATGTGCTACAGCTGTGACTTGCCTCTTTCCATGAAGAAACATGATTCTGCTAAAACAGAAACACATAGACTCTTAAGTAAGCATGTTCTGTACCAACCATGGGACCTCGAGTTCCTCTTGAACCTTTGGGACCAATTTCTCCAGCTTGGCCAGATTCACCAGCAGGTCCAATTTCTCCCGGAGGGCCAAGCTGCCCCTTTTCCCCCTGTTGGTGTTATTGTATTCAAAATAACAAGAAATTGACACTACATTTCAAAATGTGATTTATGCTTAATCAAAGTGTGTAATTTAATAGTATTATTTAATAGGTATTACGTTTACTGTATGTCATTTACTGTAGTTATTAGAACACTGAACCCAGAAGTCTGCAGTATTAAAGAAGTCTCTGCTGAAGCCTTATTATTGTTTTGTTTTAGCCAAAGCTTAGCAATTTTTAATAGAAGCAGAAACTCTTCTGAGTTTCAAAAGCACATTCTGATACAAATCTAAATTTCCTAAGGTTCTGAATGTTATTAATTGCAGAATTATGACAACTCTAATTGCTATGGCTAGCAAGAAAAAAATTGGCTTGAAGCATGACATAAAACAGGGATAGTTTTGGTTCAGTGGAATTTAGTAATGTAAATTTGAGTTTCAGATAAAAGCAAGGGAACTGGGGAAGATGAAAAATACTACCTTCTTTCCTAAACGGCCCCTCTGACCTGGATTTCCTGGTGTTCCTTCTGGGCCCTATAGATTTATTAGAGAAAGAAAAAGAAATGATTGAGAAAGGCCTGGAAACATGTTTAAACTGTGCTTCAAACTGGATAAATAAGTAGGCTTTTGCAATGCAGAGAAGTGGGAGAAAAAATGTCATTAAATGTGGCTGTGTGCAAGTTAGTAGGACTGTTTCAAGTTAGAGCAGAACAAGTGGGTAAGTAGCAGGGATCACTTATCAAACTAGTGGAAATGCACTAAAAATAGAGGAGAAAAAAACCCCAATAAATCTTTTATACTCTGTCCACACAGAATAATTCTGTCCACACAGAAAATATTACTTTGGGAATAAAATTCCTTCAAGACAAACACCGTTTTTAAAAGAAATACAATACAAAGCCAGAGGAAAAGTAAGAAAACCTTGAGGCTGTCAAGCGTGAAGAGCAGGGCCCTGATGCAAACTGCTGGGGAGCAGATACCTAACTCAGTAAGTGCTGGTGCCTACCACTGCCCACCTCTTAGTGACAGCATAACTGTGTGTGCTGCCTGCTGATGAAGGGTACTGTGGAGCTACAGCCCCTCTGCCCTCCAGATCACTTGAAAACTGACTTTACCAAAGGGCTAAATGTGTCCACTGCTCACTGGTTTCAATTTACCCAAAAGCTGTATGAGTTAGAGGAGGTAATTTAGCTCTAAAGGGAGGCATATTTTGGGCCACTGTGGTGATAAACCAGGGTAAACATAGTTTAAACAGATTTGCGAAGATTATTTTTTCCTTTGTAAGCTGTTGTTTAAGGAAAATATGCTATTACTCTCACTCTCAATGAAACACTCAGACAATTGGATATAGGAAACTGATTTCCATGATTAGACTAGGATATTATGATCTGTCTGCATCCCTAGAAGGAGGTCAACTCAAAACTGCCATGTGAGTACTCCCAGATGCCAGGGAGGATGAGTGGGGAGGAAGGTAGCTTTGCAGCTACCTTTGGAACATGCGGAACAGAAACTTGAAAAATCCCCCACTAACCACATCCTCCCAAACGCTGGATTTCCAGACCTGCCCGTCTCACTGAGCCACAGAAGCACTGCTGAGGTTGTTTATTGTACACAAGTATAATCACACACAGTGTAGATATGCTGGGGCTGAGCTGTTTACAATAATTTCAATGTATGAAACTTTCATACTTTCAAGTGTCTTCAGAATTGCCAACTCAGAACAGGAAGTTAGTCGTATAGTTCTTTCAGAAACAAAACTTGCTCTGAAGCACATTGTGCTACAGCAGTTCACTGTGAAGAACCCAGGACTAAAGACATCAGACTAACACTGATGCTTAGAGGACAGTGCTCACAGCCATTAACAACTGGTCCTCTAATGTTTACTCAGACTCCAACATTGCATAAGAGCTACACAGAAAGCAGTCAGAGGACTGCAAATGAGCACATCATGGTTTTTGTTTAGGGGATCTGGTGTCTGACTTGAGGCTACAATACTTGCTTCAGCAACTGTGCTCCAAAATACTAGTTTGCATTAAGAAGTTACATACAAGTTAATAGACGGATTTTAGCTGCTAGGAGTGATGCCAGAACAAACACACAACTGATCTAATAATGTTGACAATGAAAGAGAGATCTGAAGTGAGAGACTTCAGGTTGTGTGGTATGTGTGTCTGGATGACAGGTCATGAGGAATCTCTATGTGCTAAGAGATCACAGATTTAAGACAGGAAAAGCATTTGTCTCCTCTCTCTACCAATCCTGAAAAGCTATAACACATAGAAAGCTTATTTCAAGACTGTCATGTCTAATTACATTGAAAATCAGAAAATTAAAAAATAAAGGAAGCAAGCAAAATTAAATGTGCTTAGAAAAAGCAAGTGACCAAAAAGTCCCCTTCAGCCTGAAAACACTTACAGGAATGCCCATAATGCCAGGTTCACCAGGTGGCCCAGCAATTCCTGGTAACCCCATCTCGCCTTTTTCACCACCTTCTCCAACAAGTCCCTGGTCTCCAGGGTCTCCCTAAAACAAAGCAAAAAAAACCAAAGCTTAGTCAATCTGCTGCTACAGAATTACTCATTCATGAGAAAAGTGAATTCTGAATCTTTGGGTTTGACAAAAAACACGCTAAAACTGCTGTCTCTCATATTCAGATCAGGCTCTAAGTTAGGGTAAAGCCCTTTCTATCTCATTCATACACTCCTTCAGCCACATTTTGCCCCATCTGTGACTAAGTATCTGAGGTTGTTCTCTATTACACCCCCTGTCCTGGCACCTGCCACAGTCCCTGGCACAGCACTGATCTAATTCAGGGAGCAGAGCAGCCTTGGGCTTACTCTCTCCAGCATTTTAGTCACTATAGAAACAAGCTCACTTAAGTCAGCTTCTTAAAACCTTAAGTATTCACTTCTCCATCTTGTATTTCTTTGTCAATCTATTGCAGCCCTTGTAGGGTAGATATGTACCCAAAACACACATGAAAGCCTATAATATACAGGATATCCTATGTTAAAATAAAGATGCACTCAGCTGGGCTCTGTTGACCTGGTGAAATGGGATAAAAAAGGAGATCTGGCTTCTTAAGCTAACTTCTTTACATCCGCTACAAAAACTTAATATACCTTTGGGCCATCTTTTCCTTGAACACCATCTTCTCCTGGAGGTCCTGGTTCACCCTTATAGAAATGAAGAGTAGAAAACAAAGTTATTGACTAAATTTCTCGACATAGAAGTATTGCCTTGGAAGAACTCATACTAGTTGTACACGTGATCATTGTTTTTTGTCCAACTCCTTTGTTGCTGTTACAGTTTATTTATCTTCAGTGCCACAGCCCATGAATCTCTAACACAAGAAAATGTAAAAGATGAACAGTACTGGAAAAATGAGGCAGTGCTATGCCCATATAACACTGGAGACTTAGACAATGACACTGAGAATTTTTTGCTTCATAGTATACAAAATGTAATTACAGCAACCTCAGAAGTATACCTATTCTGCCCTGAAACTTCCATGTTTATGTGGATAACTACTATATTGCTATATTTAGTGACTCAGTTCAGGGCCATGAAAAACTCATTATTTACCATCAGTATCAGCACCATGGCATTCTAGAATATTTGCTTTTCTCAGGTAAAGACACTGGTAACTTGCAAATATGTGCTGCCCTATAACTAATAACACAGTATTTCACACTTAGTGGTATAACTAAGTCCAGAATACCCACTGTGGACCATTATCATGAATTTCTCCTCTTCAAGGACAGGTAGAATTATGGAATGCACCTCCTGGGCAGGAGGAAAAGATGACAGCAAGGAGCTAATGGAACAAGAGAGCTCATTGGTAAGACTCAAGTTGAAAGGATATAGTTTATACACTCTTTTGAAAGCATCCTGGATAAAGTCTGCACAGAAAGAATAAGCAGGGGCACACGGGCTTGGTAAAATCAAGTGCGGAAGCATCAGAAGCAAATCAGATGTTTTAGATGGCAGTACAGAGAGACACCCTACTCTGATGTGACTATAATGTTCTCATTATCTCACCTAGACAGGGTATCCATATACAGAGTTATTGTGTGCTGTCAACTGAACAGCTGGGTTGGACCCCCTTGGATTTACCTTCAAAGCACTAATTCATGTCTCAGTGATAGATAGAGAATCATAGAACCATTAAGGCTGGAAAAGGTCTCCAAGATCACGGAGTCCAAATTTTGACCAAAAGACATGAGACACTTAAAAATATTTCGACATTATAATCACAGAATCACACAGAACCAGCAAGGTTGACAGAGACCTTCAACATCATAATGTCTAACCATCAGCCTAGAACCACCTTAAGCACTCCTAAACCATATCCCCAGATGCCACATCCAGATGTCTCTTGAACACTTCTACAGATGGTGACCCCACCACCTCCTTGGGCAACTTATTCCAATGCCTAACCACTCTTTCAGTGAAAATTCTTTTTCTAATATCCCATCTGAACCTCTCCTGGTACAGCTTAAGGCCCTTTCCTCTCATCCTTTCACTTGAGACAGAAGAGAGCAATGAGCTCTCTCTTGAGAGCTCATTTCCTCGGGCTAAACAAACCCAGCTCTCTCAGCTGCTTCTTCCAAGTCTTGTACTTCACCAGCTCTGTTGCTTTTCTCTCTTGCTTCAGCACCTCTCTGTCCTTTTTGAAAACAGAGGCCCAGAAATGGACACAGCACCCCAGGTGTGGCCTCACTAGTGCCAAGAACAGCAAAACAATCACTACCCTAATCCTGCTGGCCACACTATTTCTGATACAGGTCAGGATGCCACTGGCCTTCTTGGCCACCTGGGCACAGTGTTGGCTCATATCCAGCTGGCTGTCAAACAGCACTCCCAAATCTGTTTCTGCTGAACAAGCCACTCTTCCCCAATCAATACACTTTTTAACTTGCTAAAATACGCTTAAAAAAAAAAAAAAAAGGTATCAGAAAATAGCCTCTTATTGAATTCATCTGATAAATCCTGCATTTCATTTGTAACATACTCTCCTGTTTTGGAAGAAGATTTGCATACATTGCTTACCCTTAAACCTTGATCGCCTGGTTCTCCAGACTTCCCAGCAGGTCCAATGTCTCCCTTAGAATATCACAAGAAAAATCATTAGATTTTAAAGATCAGTACTCCTAACAATGACAGAGTTTACAAATAATGCAGTCACCATGACAATAACAATATTTCTTAATAGTTCATTTCCTGTGTCACTACTTGGCTAATGAATCAGGTCCCTCTGATTTGCTTTTATGCAAATATCAAAATTTAAACAGCACAAGAGAGAATAATTTTAGCATTTACCTTCGCGCCTGGTTCCCCCTGTAGACCAGCTTCTCCTTCAGGGCCAGGAGGTCCCTGTATGGTACAAGAGTTATTGTTGCACATGATCGCTAATAATAATTTTGCAAGAACTAAACAGTACAGCCAAAATTGAAGTAGAAGAATGACATAAGACACTGGGAAAGACGCATGTCTGAAAAACCAAATCAAGACAACACAGTTCTTTGTTCCTTCTAGAGCCTAACAGAAGAAAAGAAAGGAGGGAATAGGAGGAGTTCAGGAAATACACTGTGGGTCAGAAACATATTGAAGACTCAGCAGTACACTAAGCCTGCACCTTTGATCATATTGGTAGGCTGAGCAAACATCTATCCTTTGTAAATCTAACTGACAACTTCATCACTGTTTGGGCTTGGAGCCAAGCAGATACAGCCTTTGGAGAACAAAGCCCTTTTTGGAGGCTTCAGCCCTTAATGAGTTAATGGTATCAGACTGCTTCTTGTAAAGTTTACATATAAACCTTTTTTTAATAGTCAGAAGATTGGATTTTGAGTGACTGACGAAGCACGTTCTTTTGAATAAGCCAAATCCCTTCTGTATTAAGTGAGCTTATCCCTCAGGTACTTCATTACAAATGTGGCTAATTCATTCTGTCACATTTCTTTCAATGAGATATTAAAAACAAAGCAAAAAACAGAAGCAGAAATTAGCAAGAAGGCTGTCTGCAGCTGCTTTTCTTCATCTATAATTTGCAAGGACATATGATTAATGCTGTTTTACTATCTAGCTGCAAGGAAAACATTCACCTTCTATGTCAAGATGTCATGAATGTATGCTCAAAGACAATATTCTCAATAGAAAAAGCTATTTATTTTAGAAGTTTTTTTGGAACAGCTTTAAGTAAGAGTGTCTCAGTAGCTCATGGTATTTAATTCAGCTGCAGGCAATAAAAAATAAATTTCTAAACATATTGTCCAGGCTTAGTCAGTTGTTTGAGAGTTTTTAGTTGCTATATAAATGATTAAAAGCTCACCTCAAAACCCATTTCTCCAATAGGGCCAGCATCCCCCGGTTGTCCTCTTGGACCCTGGCATTAAACAAAATTTTGGATGCATCATTCAAATACCAATAAATTACATAGTATAGTCTTCAATTTGTCCCTTCGTAACTCTTCCAACTGGCATAAAGAACTGTATTTCATCATCTTTCCTCCTGAGTCCAGCAGTGTATTTCAGTCCCACGATGGCATACAGTCCCAAAGGCCTCACTGCCAACCGTAACACACTGAAATAACAAATCTCAAATAATAGCACAGATGTCCTTTCTTTTAGACCAAAAATAAATTATTATCTGAACTAAGCTCTTCTCTTGACTAACTGAGACTTTGTTTAATTAAGGTTTGTTAGACTGTCTGGTTTGCTTTGTGGAAAAGCCTACAGTCTGGTGAGGAATTAACTGAAAAAAACTACTGTGTGCTTCACCATGGGTTTAGCAGCATTTGTGCAGAACAGTCACTGAGGCTTGAGCTTTTTTGGTAATATTTGTAATTATACCAAGAGCATTTTATTATAAGCCTTACATGTAAGTAATAAATTTACTTCAATAACACATATAGGGATTGTTTCCCAAAGCAGCATGTTTGAATTCTCTGCACATGTAGGATCCGGGATTTCAGAGTAGGATTTGTGTGCTGGGGGTAGAAGTTGCCCGTAACCTGCTTACAGCTGATTCTACAGCCACTATGAATGTATGTCCAGACAAATCAGCCCTCTGGATGTAATTGGTCTTAAACTCTAAGGAAGTTCATATCCATTTACCACTTTGGGACTTATCTGTGTTTAAATACATTCAAAATTCAAAACATTTTGTTGATCTATTATTCTCATTCAAGAGAAAGATGCTGCTGCCTGTATTTATGATAGAAGCCTTTTAAACAAATATTTACTTTAGTTTGTTTCACTTCCTCTTACAGACTATGCATGTAGTTTTGCTCCTCCAGTAGTGACAATGAGAGTATTTTCTTCCCTTGTAACGACAACATAAATTGTATATGACTTACAGAATTTCAGTATATGCATATATTTGACCTCATAACTTAAGTATGAACAACTAAAACTGCAGTTAACCTCCCACTGAGAACTCTCTTAGTCCCAAAGTAAGTTCATTGATTTTCATTTGCAGCAACTCCATGGAATTCCACTAGGCAAGTATCACCAAGTTTAAGTTTGATTCACAAGTCAAGTATTTCTTCACATTACCATGGAGATAAGGTTGCTGGATTGGTGCTTTATCCTTCCCCTGAGAGTTTCAGAAGCCAAAAATATGTAGCAGTATAGGGACTCCTTTTAACCATTAACATCAAGTAATTTCCAAAGGATTTGACTGTAAAGTCTGACAGGTAGATAAAGTTTGAGTGCAATTTAGATCAAGCCCGTTACTAAAAATAGTTCTAAATTTTTTACATTTCTCTGCTCCTTCACCAACAATTAAGGATTTTCTGCTCTGTGCAGAACTCATGAAAGGGCCAGAGAAACTCAGCAGCTGGCTTTCATGTAGTGACCAGCCGACAGAAGATGAAATCAAGCTGCTTGGATAGGCAGTTGGGGAAAAAGAGCCACGCATTTTGTTTCGCAACATCTTCCGTCATTTTATCACTTCTTTCTAACTCCACAGACCATTTTGTGAAGATATTGTACTCTTTTAGCCCTTGATAGAAATGGTATCCTGTTCAGAGGATAAATTTTTCTTGCTTTCAACACTAAATTTATATAGTTTCTATGATGACAAGCACAACAGAATTGTAGGCTGCTCAAGAGTAGATCACTTACTTCAGATAAGGTAGATGGTCATTCTAGAGATCAGAAAATGGCAAGAATTTGACAAACAAACCTTGCATTATAAGTCTCTCAGATGGTGCAACAGGAAGAGACAATAAATGATCCAATAAAGGAATCCAATAATAACGATTACAAAATACAATTTCTGTGAAACATTTTGCCACTCCTACAAGTTGGCAGCTCAAGTTAAATAGGCAATTGTATACTGTAGAAAATTTACCAAAATAATTGTTGGTGTTTTTCTAGACCCCAAAATGTGCAATGATCTGCTGTAACCATGTCAGCCTATGGATTAGTAGAAATAATATTAGAAAAAAATAATAAATACTAAAATTAATAAAATTTATATCAGCAGTTCTGATCTTTCAAGATTTAAATTAACTATGTACCATTTATTGTGCAAAATTGTTTTCCAGATGCAATGAAAATAAAGTTTTGTCAGCTCTGTCAGATTTCTATAATATGGAATGGCAGCCTTCTCCCAGGTCCCACTAAGACAGCACACATGGTTTCACTGTATTTATATAATCTGATTTACTCCCAGAGATGGTGCTGCAATACTATTCCTACCATGGCTGTATCTTAGAGCACATTTCATATTTTTACTGCAGATTCTGCATGATCTTCTGTAGCAATGTCAGCCACATCAAAGTGAGCACAGCTTTGACATAGCAACAAGAATCCATCCAGCAGAGGAATGTCTGAGGTTTATTATAGCAGTCTCTTTTTTCTTTAAAATTTAACCTGCCAAATAGACGAGGTTCCTGAGTTCCTGAATAACTATCCTAATATTTGCCTAAAAAAAAATCACTAATATCTTTACATAATACATAAAGATGTCTACCACACTGTGGTGTAAATCCACATAATATTGTGGTCCAGATTCTGTCATGCTCTCTTATATTGTGCATCCCTTACTACACTGCTTCCCAATACAACTAACAGGTCCCCTTATGAGCAAGTTATGCTAAGCAAGGGAGGCAGACTTGAGTTCTGCAGTTTTGGAACAATTGCCCCATAATTCCTTCCTAACCACAGCTGGCAATACTGAATCTTGGTAAAAGAGAGCTTGAATTGCCAGGGAGTTCATGTAATACATGGAAAAAACTTTTAAGCAGGCATAAGGATCGACTTACTGGCTCTCCCATTGGTCCCCTGTCTCCTGTGGTTCCGGGAGGCCCAAGCAAACCCTGGAAGATTAAAATAAAAATAAAAAAAAAAATCAGTGGAAGCAAGCTGTTTCATATTATGTGAACAGCTACTTCCTTTTATTTCTGCTCACACAATAACTTACACAGGAACATCCAAGAAATATATGCAGCTTTTTTTTCTGGTTGACATGCATTGAGACATCACTAGGTCCTGTGGCAGGTGAGGCCACCCTGGATAAATTCTGCCTCAGTTTCTTTTACATACATGGATCTCAGCTGACCCAACATTTACCAGGGCCTCATCATTCCCCTTATAGCCACGTGGTGTTTGGGTGGGCAAACTGCCCTACAAGCTGTATTTGAGACAATCAGTAAGGTTCACAGCCCACTTTTCTCTCAGTTCAACCTTTCTCATGGCATTTCTGTCTCTCTTCTAGAAACTGTAGCTAAAAGAGTTCTAGAGCAGTATCTTGTATTTTGCAATAAATGTACTATTCTACATAATTTCATTTTAATGAGGTTTTGCTTCGTTCATTTCTGTACATCTATACACATTTAAAAGTTCTAATGAGTGAAGAGGAAATGAAACCCATTGTATCAAAGATGAGAAGCAACAAGCTCCTAAATCTGAGCAGAAAAAGCAAGAGAAGTATAGAGACAACCAACATTTTGAGTCTCAACTGCAGCACAAAATCACCACCATTACTATTTTGTTTCTGTTTTCCTGTTTCCTTCTTTGCTGAAAATCCAGTGCAGTTTGGACTGACTGGTATCCTGCTTTGTAAAAGCCTCAAATAGAACACACTAGATTTCCATTGAAAGAAGCCCTAAAAGGTGGAGTTTTCCCCTATCTATGTGATATATATTTTACATATTTGTACATTTAACCCTACAATGACAGCACAAATCTAACCTAAAATCTATCAAAGAATTATTTTTCTATGCACAATGACTTTTGTACTTAAAACTACAATAAAACTAAAAAAAAAAAAAAAAGGAAGCCCAAAAAACTTCTAAGACCCCACATTGGCCATTTCTTCTGCTGCAATTTGCTATCATATTGTATTCTGTGGATCATCATCCATGAAAACACTGGTCTTATAGCGGACTAGACCATGTCAAACTTGCTCTCACTTCTGATTCTTTGTATGATTAAATGCAAATTGTACTACCAGAGTTTTCCAGCTGCTCTGAAGCAGATGAACCTCGTCATATCTGAGTGTCAAACAAAGTAGGAGATTTTATGGGTGTTTTTTGGTAGAAGTACTAGTTAATTTCATACTTACAAGTGCACCCTGATCTCCCCTTTCTCCTGGATTTCCAGCTTTACCCTAGTCAAAGAGAAATATCAAAAGATAATGCTGGTTTTAGCTGATTTCCAAACACAGCTCAGAAATTAGTAGTTTCTGTGTTAAAGATTACTACAAAGATTGGTGTCGATACTTACAATGAGCCCAGGAACTCCTTTCTTTCCAGGATCACCTCTTTCTCCCTGATAAATAACCAAAAATGCGTGAATTCTGTGTGCATTTGCTAGATAGACCAAATATAGTTCTGTCAGTTTAAATGCTGGGTAACTGCAGAAAGTGCAGATTCAGGCTTAGATGGGCTCATACCACAATAAGGAAGTACCCGGAAAAGACAGAAATTTGCAAATCTCTGGATTTGCAAATCTCTGGATTAAATGCAACTCTATGGTTTCTGCCATGCTGGGTTGGTTCTTTGTTTGTTTTCTTTTATCTGTTATGTTCTACCTCAGTGTTTTGTACAGTATTGAGTAATGCAAGCACTCACCTTAATGCCTTCTGTTCCCAGTTCTCCCGGAGGACCATCTGGACCTCTTGGCCCCTGAATTGAACAAGTGATTTGGAATTCTAATTATGCATTACTTTTGGTTATCATCAAGGAGATGCTACATAAACTTTAGGAGAGGGGAAACATTTCTGTAGCATGAAAACCAATTTTTGTACGTTAAGTGTTAAATAAAGCTTTGAAGAATAAAATAAGTTTCTGGTTGGCTGAACTATGAATTTAAGAAGAAAGATTTTTTGAAAAGTACGTAGACAAAATGTTCAGAGTCTCTGTTGGAGCCAGCTTGCAGCCTGTTATTTTCTGCTCTCTTTGTCATCCACTTTGTATGCATGCAACAGACACATATTTAGAAGAATTTAGATGAGCACTGTTTATACGGAATGCTTGATTTTTAGCATAAGTTGTACATGCAAAAATCAATCTTGCTAGTAAGACTCCAAAACAAGTAGATAAAGTTCTTTCGTTAGTAAACTGGTTTGAGGCAAGATTAAAAGAAATTTATAGTTGTGAATTGCTCTATTGATAAAATAAAATGTCTTTTGTAAATTAATTTTTTATAACCAATAGATGAACAAAGATAACCTGTTATATTTTTGTAGCATAATACAGCAAAAATTATTGCCAAAATATTCAGAAATTATTATTTAATATTGCAAATAAATATCCATTTCTTACGAGCAAATGAAAAATCCTTAAATAGGTCATATGCAAAATGGAAAAGAATATTTTATCCATGCTGACTTGGAAGGTTATTTCCATAATTCTAAAAAAACCCATGACTGTTTAGCTACGGAACATTAAATTAAAACCAGTTAATAACAACTTAAAACCAATGACCACTTCAAAGGAAGAGCTAGATAAGTATCAAGACAGTGCCAAGCTCTTTACAGCAGTATGTAGTGGGAGGATGGGACATAACAGCTTTCTTGGTGACATGTGGGCTGGGCTGGCATCAGAGGGAACTAGTACACTACTATGGCAGTGCCTAGAGGAAAATAAACTATGTTTTTATGGTGCATTTCGGAGTTGTAGAGAACCTGACATCTTGGGTCATGGTTATAGTGTAGGGCATGCAATCATGACTGATTTTCAGAGAGTTGCAATAGGGACTTGAGAAATGACTGTTGGAAGCATGTCTGAATTAATTTAGATTAGTTTCCCTGCAAAAATATCTGTGACTTCCATATCTTTCTTGAATATTTTGAGAAAAAACATACCAGAATTTTGTTCTCTCTGACTTGGATTTACTGATCCATGTCAAAACCTCTGTCAGAACATCCAATTCTCTCTGGAGTAAAAGTAAAAATGGCTGACTGGTAACTCAGGAACAGCGTATATCCAGAATCATTTAGGCTTCTCTCCTGAAATGGAAACCTCTCAAGAACAGGCCTTTCCTGTGAGCTGATATATGATTACAGCCCCGGCAGAGCAGAAATACCCCATGAGAACTCATCTGTCAGTATTTCACCACTGCTACTTCTGGTCAGCATGAGAGATCACAAACCATAAGAAAAGGAAATAGAGGAGGCAGGAAAAGCTGTCTGAATACTTTAGTTACCTCTGTAGTTTGGGACACAGTTTTTGTGAAGCAACCCTTGGATTTGCCTGTCTTTTCTTGTTTTGGTGTAAGCCAGGACTGAAGGTTTACTGTCATATGCTATGTAGGCACTTCTCTTTTTTGGGGGTTGACATGGAGAATATTAGAAAATGGCATCAATTTAGTCTCACTTCTTTTGAACAATTTAGATAAAATTTGGCTATTGATATACTACCAAGCACACTGGACACTTGTTTCACATAACCCTGAAATGCACAGTTTTCTAGGTTCTATATTCCTTGCTGTGAGAAGCAGGAAAGATCTCTCTCATTAAAATTAAGCACTGATGTCCTTAGGTAATTGAGGTCCTTCATGCCAGTACAGACTGAGGCAAAGGCAATCCTACCAGCTGCTAGAGACGTAAGTTGCTGTTGCCTGAGCCCAGATTTATGGCCAGTCACTAAGTTATTTATCTGTGTTTTCAAAAATAAATTTCATGAGCTGAATTTCAGGAAAGTAAGAGCAGAAAAATTACTGTTTTGATCTTTGAAACACTGAACCTGAAGAATAGTAACTGCTAAGAATTTTAGTATCTTTTGGAAATTTTACTTAGGTGTCACTCATGAAATGAACCTCATGATACAGGATCTCTTCCTCTCAAAGTTACAGTTGTATTAGTCCAAGATTATAGTATGAACTAAAAGCAGAACCAATCTCTAACGTTGTGGTTTAGCTCACACACTATCAAGTATGACTTTTTGTTGTTCCTGTAACAATGTCTTCATGGTTGCTTACACTGCCAGTCTTCCTGACTAATGTATTTCTTCCTTCTGGTCATAGAGAGAAATTCCTTCTCTTACATACAGATATTCCCATCTCCAGAGTATCACTCTGCCACTGAAATATCTATAAAATTGTGTTCTCCCTCTCTGTTTTCATGAGATTAACACTAAAAAATGAAGTGTGTGTCGCAAAAGGACCCAGCCTTCTACACAATTCCAGCTAAGTGCATCAAATCTCAAGCGTGAGCTGAGGAAGCTCTGTGCTATTACTAGGCTCAGTGGCATATTCCCTCAAATCCCTTGAGAGAGAGAGACTCCATAGACTCCCAGACAGCCTGCCGTCAGCTGGCCAGAACTCCTAAGTGTGCTACAGAGTGAACAGCTGGATACTCTCACACAGAAGTAAGGCTGCTGGGCAATCTTGGATGCAAACACATTGCTGAAAGGGCCAGAATTTATGAAGTGAAGGAATTCTACTCTGTGACAGTGCAGAAGTAGAGGGTCAGTGCTTCTTAGGCTTCCCACAGATTCCAGCTGCAAAGACGGGATACGTTCTAGTTTCCGCACACAATGAAGGGGAATTTCCATATGCTTCCATTTAACTTCTGCATGTGACTGTGGTATGCATTTTTCCAAGTCCTGCCACACAGAGCTCAGGGTTCTGACATTTCTCTCTCTCTGAATCCAGTGATGAAAAGCCCCAGGTTTCAAGGCACCTCAGATATTTGTCTTATGTGAGATTCCACTTTGGGTCTGATATTTTGACCTTGAGAGCAGGGAAAATTCTCAGTGGCTTCAGTGGGAGCCTATTGTCAGAGCCTGAAGATCTGGGTCTGCTCTGAGACCCTCTTTCATAAAACTTTACCTGTCATGCTGGATAGAGGCAAAAGGCATAAACCATGACCTTCAAAGGAAGCAACTGTACATGGGTTATATATCAGATTCATATTTGCAACACACTACCCTCTGTTCTAAATAACGTGGAAGATAAATATTGCTTACCCTTCTTCCCTTAGGTCCCTGCAGCCCTGATGGTCCTCGTGCCCCTGAAGGTCCCTACGTATCAAACAAACTCATTACTCTTTGTCTTCTAAACACAGATTTCTGAAAAGCTCGTGCACCGTGAGCAACAATCAATGCAGTGAATGCAAATCAATCACTTTCACTCACAGTTCAAATTCAATTCACAACTTACCTAGAAAAATCTAAATAAGTGACTCTATGTAACTTTGTCCTGATTAAAAATTGTGATGTCACTGTTGGATTAACTACTTCTGTCTATATCCCAAAATTTCTACAGGATACTTGTATTTCAGCAACGTTATGTTGAAAACCATGAAAATTAAAAGGTTCAGTTTTTATCTGTACTGAAGACTCATAGTACACAAATTATAGCAATTATACACAGAAAATTTGAATATAATTCTTTTGATTAACAAGGAAACCAAAGTAATGATAATGACTTTCAATTATACTTTTAATTATACTAGGCATCAATGAATTAAGAAAATATTATGCAATTATTAACCATCCTTAAAAATTCTACTCCCCTACTTGTCTCAACTGAGTGATTTTTAAATGGATGAGTAAATGATATAATCACTTTTCCTGACTCTCATGGATCATCCTGATGAAGAGCAGGTGAACAGACTTTGTGTCTGGATGGGTAAATGTTCATGACAGTTTTACAGACTGCAGTACAAATTAGAAACCATTCTTAGCTTCAGCAGATCAAAAGGACAATTTGAAAAAGGTACATTTTATGTCAAACCAAAGCACCATTCTATACCTACAGGTAATCCCTCTGGCCCCACAGGTCCAGGGCCTCCTGGGGGTCCTGGATAGCCCTAGAATTATAATAAACATAGAAAAAAAGAACACTTTTATCAAAATTGTTTTTATAACAACAGTAACAAATCCAGTTATTTACCTGAAAAACTGGAGCTAAGTTAATAACACATTTAATTTTGCAAAATTTATTACCAAATTTTGTTTAAAAACTAGATACTTACTTGGATATATCCCAATAATCATTAAAACAACCTAAGTAGTTTTCCCACACACAAGCACTAGTTGGCAGGGATGTACTGAAACAAAAAATGCTGAGTTCTAAATGAATTTCAAAATCCTCTCATGAAGGTTGTGACAGTGGGAACAGAAAATGGACACATCCTGGTGTGGGTGGAACTGGCCAAGACCAAATGCCAAGAACAACTCTTGTCTGAGGAGTGTGATGACTTACTACTGGGAAAGGTTCTCACTGCTGTGACTTAAGTGGATTTACATGTGTCAATAAGCATTAGTAACAGCTGAAAAAAAAAGCAGTTTATTAGACTGGATACTATATTAATAAATCCTCATTTATTAATCTCCCTAATAATTTTTTTTTTGGATTGGAAGCAGCTGGCTGAAGACAAATCTAAATTAGATAGATTTAACAAAGCACAGAAAGCTTCAAAAATCGATGGCTCCGCATGGATCATTAAGTTGCCTGCAGCCTGATGGTACTTTATCCCTTCCTTGCCAGTGGATGCCCAAAGACTAATAACTGCAATTATTCAGTAATAATATCCATTTCCATGACAAGAACATCACCCACTGCACCATGCTCAGGCCCACACGTGCAGTTTCTGTGTAAGGCCACTAAGATTTCATCCCTCACCAGTGTCAGTTGGCACAGGATGCAGTACATTGCGCATAAACTCCCTGTCATCTCCTTGTAGTGAAATTTTTAAGTGCTCTCTATACATTCTGGAGCCCTCACAGTGCTTGCAAGCAAACACAGACCCAAGCCCTAAGCCCTTTTCATTGAGAACTTCCACATGGATGTGACAATGGGCACATATGTGCACTCTCTCACTTCTGTACCCCAACACACTACCACGGCAGTGGCCTCTGGGCTGGGCAATGCTGCATGAAGTGCTGCACAATGATTTAGGATGAGTGCTGTTGTTGCCACAGGTGTGGCACTCAGGAGCTGTTAAGGGTACTGCTGGGCAGTAGAATTAGAGGTAATGCTAGTTACAAGTCTATCTAATAGAACAATCTGAGGTACCCCAGTTTACACAGGAGATGGTTGTTTTACTTTCCCTCCTTTTAATTTATGTGAGGCTGCTTACGTAATAAAATTCAGTGTGACTGAGCAGATTGCTTTGCAATATCACTTTGCCACAGATGGGATAAAGCTGTTAAATGGAACTTTGTAAGAACTATGCATCATAAATACTACTCTTTCCCAAAAGGCTTGCACTGTCAGAAGGATGAGAATTTATTACTGTTTTGAAGAGTAAAGTATCTTTATAAGTAACGTAATTATGGATTCTACGTTACTTGTAACTTACCATGACACCTTTTTCTCCAGGAGGACCTACTGGTCCTGGACTGCCCCGTTCTCCCTTTAGTATTAAAAAAAAAAAAAATTACAATGAATGTTCCTTGACTTGTTCCACATCCACTGAGTATACCTGGCAGTGCACAACACTGTTGGTTCAGGAACTGCCCTTCATAAACAGTACAGAGACCTTTTTTAACTTTTTATTTTTTCCAGTTTCTGCACTCCTTCCTCCTACAAGCCCATCCATATTCTGAAAAGATTACAAAACTGAGTTTCTCTGTCTTCCCTTTCCCTAGAAGACCGAAGCAGAGATTTGGTAGTACATCAGTCTCTGAGAACAGCTGCTAGCAGATCCGTTTTTTCTCTCTGTTGGGTGCAACATATTAGTTATGTCCCTTAATCTATAAAATTCAGGAGAGCGTAGAGAAAAGAAAATTTTCTTCCTCTCTCCCTCCTTTTTTCAGTATGTGTTAGGAAAGCACAGATCTAAAGCAAAGCCAGACCTTCAGCAGCTGCAAAAGCAACTGGAGTAGGGGACACAGGAAAGGTCTCTCTCTTGTCTTACATACTTAGCTTTTAATCATGTAACATCCACCCTAAATATCAGACTTCTTAGCTGCAGATTATTCTCCAAAGATTACACTTTTATTGCATACAGTGCACACGACACAGTGAAAACACTACATTTTATCTTGTGTACTGTAATTATGCTGGATGTTTGTCTTTTAAATCCACATAGCATGTTTACCTTGTACTATTTAATCCATAAAAGAGGAACACAATAAATTCCACAAAAGTAGCATAGCAGTGGCAACAATTACTGCACCATGAAGAAGCTTCCTTCCATTTGCTGATGATGAATCAATTAGTCTTTTCCCTCCTAACTGAACTAGCAGAAGTATCACAAGGTAATGTTTATTGGGCCAATGTAATTATAAAGAACAAGAATCCTTTGACATGGAAGGATGATATTATGATTAAAACCATATGAGACTTGTCTAAATTTTAGTTTTAACAAGCAGTGCTTTCCACTGATGTATTCCCTTTCATGGATTATATAAATTATAATCAGATTTTCATGAAAATTCTAATATTTTATTTAGACTTTCTCAGTAAAATATCTAAATAGCAGACACCAGTCTAGGTGAAAAATTCAGCCCTGCAGGGAGGAAATACAAACAGCACTGGATCATTCTGACAAACAATTATGTTTTTATCATAATTGAAGCTGACATGCAGTCCAGTAATAGTTTCCTGTTTTTCAGTTTTAAAATACTTCACCTAAATAAAACCATGTTAAATATGCTTAAGTTATTTATACTGCTCTAGTCACATTAAGTCTGCCAAACTTTGCTTTCCTAAACACAACTGTTATTGCACGGCAGACAAAACTAACAGTCTTATCTTTTTTAGTCAATTAATGCATACAGCCAAGTTTTACCTTTCTACTTTTGCCTTCATTATGTAGCAGTGCAAAATCAGTGACTACTGTATAAAACAAGCATAATTTATGCCAGTTTCTCTGAATCAGTAGCAGTGAATAGTAAAGTAGCTGACATAATATGTCAAAGCTAAATAGCAAGTCTATCAGATCTAAATCAACTGTGAAGTAAAATCACAGTATCAGATATATACCTCAAATAACAGCATTTGGATTACCATTTATTACATCCCTGTGCTCTGAAATAGCTACAGGAACATTGGCACTAACAGAGGTCACTAAATGACCTCTCACCACCTCTCACCAGTGTTTTCTCACCCAAATGGTTTTCAAAACTGATTTTGGCTGCTGAGAAGTCATATATAGTATTCTACCTTTTCACCAAGGCTTCCTGATGGCCCAGTTTCTCCAGGTAAGCCAGTTGATCCCTGTACAAAAAGAAAGCACAAAAGATTAGCACAATGTACTCCAGTGGTTCATGGCTGACAGTTCTCCAGCAACAGAGCATGCCACATTTCTTCATCACAGAGAACCCTCAATCCAAGCAGAAGGATCACTGAATCCAGACACACCATCATGGTTACTGCTAGAAAAGAAATTACAGCAACTTAATCACAATGCTACGCTACCCATCTGCCCCTGAGCTCAGTTTTGCACTGTTAGAAGTTTTACAAACATATAAATAAAGGTAATAATTGCTCTGCTAGTGCTTCAATTTGACCACAAATTTCAGGGGGAATAAATACAATGGAAAAAAGTAAAATCCAGTCAAAACAAAAATTATATTGGCTCAGGTGCTGTCAGAATTTTCCCTTCAAGAGTTGTCGCCCCAAATGCCTTTGAAGTCAGATGGCCAGAGACTTTCAGTCATTCAAAAATGAAATAACTCTCTCCTGAGGCTCTCCCACAAATTTCCACTGGATAGAACAAGTACCACCATACGGGATGGGAAACATGAGAGGAAGAACTTTTAAAAAGCTTATTCACAGTGCTTGCAATACCTAATTTACTATGAAACCTAAGAGAAAAAGAAATTATGCAAGTCAAAAAAGCATAATAAATTGAGAATGAAGTAAAAGCACTTAGTTCCCAGAGTACATTGCTCTTAAAAAATGGTAGAAATGTGAAAGCTCCTAGTACTGACATAATACCCAACTGCACTGTGTCTAAAACACTTTAAAAAGCAAAAATAAAATATAAATTCACACATTGGCATTGCTACCTCTATGCGCAGGAAGAAACTACCTTAAGTAGCACCACACTGGTGCTTACGTGTGATTTTTTTTTTTATAATATAAAAGCATTACTTAAAAAAAAATGTAGCTTTTATCTGTATTATTTGAATACAGTTCAGTCACAAGTATTTTAACAGAACAGGTGCAAAGCAACTGGATCTTGGATCTTTTCTTGGACCCCTAGCTACTCTGGAAATCCCACAGTTTATTACAGTGAGCCATCAATACAGCTGCCTTTGAGGCTGATAATACTGGCACAAATTACTTTTTGGAAGGAACTAAAGAGATAAACAGGCATCTCTATGGCTGCTGGACTGATATATTATGTGTGGGAACCTGTGTATTATATGTCAGAACTGTGATGTCTCTTGGCTTGGCAGCAGTCAAAGATTGGTTCTGGTGATACTGGCACCAAGGCAATGGCCCAGACGTCACTGGCAGGAATGAGGGACTTTCATGATGAACTCTGAGAACGAGAGCTACCACTGCTACCTGTCACAGCCAACAGTGGGCCTCAGTGCCAGGCAGAAATCTGTGAGACAAAGGATTACCCTGTAAGCTTGCTTATCAAGATAAGAGGTATGGAGGTACGGTTTCAAAATGCTAAAGACCAATCACTGTGATTCTCTTATTCCAGAAAGGGCAGAAGACATAATCAGAGCCAAGGTGAAACTCAGACCTATTCTCTTTCCACAGAAACACTCCTATCTCCCAGCCAATGCCACACTGTTCACGAGACGGAAGATGTTGATCAGAAAGACGGGGAGTTGTGGCTTGCACCAGCAGTGAACCATTTACTACACAGCCTCTGATCAAGTGTTCTTTTCAATTTAAAAGTACTGTCTCACTGACTTGGTTGCTCTAGGCTCAAAGAGCAGGAACGACTAGGAAGCAGTGACTGTGAACGTGCTGTTATATCATGCAGCACATGAGGGATAGCCTATGACACCTTCCAGAGCGAGTACAAAGGTTGGCTATTAAATAGAAAGTTTCCTATACACTAGGCATTCCTCAAAAGAAAGTAGTTTAGTAAAGAAAATTTACAAGAAAAAAAAAAAACACACACACGAAGAAGGTAGATTTTCATCAATACAAATAATGTAAAAGAAACTTGTCATAGCTGGAATTGGATATGTACAGAAAGAAAAAAAACAGCCAAGATGATTAGAAGCGAAGCCAGTGAAACGCTTCAGAACTTCAAGAGGTATGAAGGGGAAAAAAGTTCACGACAGGTTAACTGGTCTTCCACCTCTCCATTCAAAACAGAGGGAAGTGTCTGAGACTGAGAAAAAGATAGGGCAGGTATTTACAGAGGCAAGAAAGGAAAAAAGCTTACTTAAGAATATAATTTTGGTCCTTAAAACACTTACTAGCATTCAGTGAAAGTCAAAAAGAGAGCAAAATATCTTGTCTCATCAACATATTATCCATAAAGTGATGTTTTCCCTACAGACTTTCTGTAAAGTCATGTGGCTCTTTAAATCCCAGATTTAGATTGGCTTATTATAGAAACCAGCCACTAAGACTACATTGAGATTTCAACTCTCTCTCCTTCTTATGTAAGAGAATGAATATTGTCCAAAGCAGATTTCTTGAATTAGTGTCTTCCAGCATCCCTTCAATCCCCTGGGGAGCAGTGATGGATTCCAAACATAAAATTGAATGTATTAGAAAACAGAAAAGCGAGGCAAAAATCCCTGAAGCACCTTATTAAAAAAATAGTAATCAAATTTACAAGGATTTGTGTAAAAGCATCTAGTGACAATAACAGCATAATAACAGCCTCTTAGAAACCTTCTTGACAGGACCATTTTGTGAAAAATGAATCAGAGACCAGATCTCACAACTAACACATGCCTGAGAAAGACAAAATCATCTTGCCAGGGCATATGCTCTGTGTTAGAAACTGAACCACAGTTGAATAATTGAAAACACATCGTACACTTAATGCAAACCAAAGTATGGAGTAATCCATTGAAAAAGCTGCTAGTGAGAAATGAATATTCTGCTGGTTCCAAACATTCCTGTGGAAGCAGTTACCTGCCAGGTTGTATGTTAACATGTTCTTCCACTGTAATTGAAAACTGCCCAATTTACAGTTCAGCATTTTCAAACATTTATTTAATGAGATGACATAAGTAAATTTATAATATTATATTGCCACACTAATATTTTTCTATTAACTTATTTTGCAATTTCAAATTAACTGCAATAAATTTGTCCTGAATCTGTGCTGAATCACTTCACTTCAAATCCAACATTTAGCAATATCATAATCTCTGTCTGCTCATTAATATTCACATTTAAGCATTTCTTTAAGAGTTCATTGGCTTTATACTTCAAGAAGGAATTCATACATTTGGCACAGTACTCAAAAAAATCAAAATGAGGCAACATTTAGGACTGATTTTAACAGATCAAAATCTACCTGAAGATCCTTGAAGATTCAGGACAGTTTTCTATCTTAGAAAGACAACAAGGCTGATGGACAGGAGGAGGAGGAGTGGATCCTCTAACAGCCAGTTTCTACTTTTTCATACCCAGCTCATAGATAAAAAAATACCTCTACAACTCATAAAATTACAAAAAATAAAGTTCTAAGAAATAAGAACCTAAGCTCTGATTTGCTAGCCAGACTTAATGGCATTAACAAATACTCTTAAAATAAATCCATCTGGACCTGAGCATTGTAAGACACAAACCCTGGATCTATTCACACATGCCTCTAACAGATGTGACCCAGATCAGGCCTGCAAAACAAGTAGGAGGAAAACATAATGCAAGGTTTACACTGGTTTCCATTTGAAAACAGAAAAGTGAAGCAAAAATCCTGGTGTTCGGGCTCCAGAGCAACTGCAGTAGAACAAAAGGCAGCTGATCTGTGAGAAAGGAGGGCTCATAGACAGTCAATACCTGCCATGAAATCCAAACCCCTGATAGTTGTGGATTTTTCATTGAACTTGTATAAAATCAGTGCTTTCAGGATATTGCTGAACAAAGACAGGCTTTTAAACCCAACTTCTTTCACCAGAGCCTTTGTGTAGATCACTTATTACTCTAACAGTTGCAGGTAGGAACTGAATGGAGCAGCTCTTACTTAATATTCTGCCCTTAGATGAAAGAGTAACCAAATTGGCTTTTGGTTGGGTCGATTCAAGCTCATAGTCCCACCTCTAAACTTAAAAAACTATTTCCCACCTCATAAGCACAGTTCTAAAAGTGTTATGAAGTGACCATGAGATCTGTAGCTGTGTTACCCAGGATTATGCTGGGTGAGTGAAAATGAGTTAAAATCTATGATTTGATACTGCCAGTGAAAAAGGTGAATAAAAGCAAAGATGCACCACATTTGTACCTTGCAGCTGATATTTCACGCAATTCTTTAAAGGACTCAGAAATTCAACTACCTGAATATTTGAAAAGTAAAATGTACTGGCACCATCACTTAATCTACAGCAGCTTAAAGAAGAAAATAAATGAGTTAAATTTTGCTTCTAGTAATACCAGTGTAAAGTAGGGTAATTCTGTTTGATAAAACTATGCAGAGGATTGTTTGCTGACAAAGTGGCAGCAGGATGTGCTCACTGGCAAAACCTTAAAGTTAGATTTAAAAAGACAACAAGGTTGATGGACTGGAGGAGGAAGAGTGAATGCTCTAACAACCAGCTTCTGCAGGTGCCATGTACAGGTATTATTCCTCTAGTTGAAACTAGATGATGACGAGCACTAGTAGCAAAAAATCCTTCAAGAAAAATGAGCAACAGCTCGATAAAGCTAACCTCCATATATTGTAACCTCTTTCCCCACTCTTCTCAAGAGAAAGACTGGCTGGAATTATAGTATATCAGGTCATCTAGGGTAAAAACAAGAAGCACAACACAGACATGGTATCATTATTACCATTCACTGTTAAGTCCTTCATAGAACTTACACTAATCTCTATCCTGCTGGTTTCTGAAAGCAGCTAAACCAGTTTCTTCTTCAGAAGCCCTTGGCAATGCCCCATGCATTCAGCAGTCTTTGAAAAAAAAATGGCTTTCCTCAATTGACTTATCTTTTGGCCTATATCCCCAAAGCCCAGACTTTTTCATGATAATTCAAAGAACTCCTTCTGTTGAGCATCCTGAAAACATCAGTTGAAGCTCGCTCAATCTTTTCTTCAAGTGAAAGGACTTGCAGTTTCCATTGTCCCTAAATTATGCATCCCTGGTGCCTAATCCAGCTAATTTTTATCTCTCCAGGAGACACAGTAACTGCTTCATGGTAATTCTTCTCATAAACAGCTCAGCTCCCAGGCACATGGTCTGACTGCAGCATTTTCTTGCTGTTCACAGACTCTCACTGACCATTTGCAGCCTGCTCTGGAGCTGCCACTGACAGCCTAAAACTCACTGTTTTCTTTGCTGGACTGTAATTTTTTTTTTTTTTTCCAGGGGAAAGCACTTTTCATTTCAGCTTGGTTTCCTTCTGTTGTTTCAAAAACTACAACCAGGCAAACTTGCTGACATGTAATTTTTGAAGATTATTTTTCCAGGATTTGTGTTAATGAACTCTGCTTATCTCTGTTTGTCCTTTTGACACCAGCGGCACATGCTGCAGCTGACAGTTCTATCCATGTATTCTGCCTTGTATATAAATGTCAGTAATTTCTAATTCAGAAGTGTATGGGCCACAGGCTGAATTTCTGTAATGGAGGTGGCGAGGAGAAGTAGGAATTAACTTGCTCTTAGTTGTTGAGAGTGGCAAAGTCTGGGTAAACACTAGCATTATCAAACACTAAAACAATCCTGATAAACAACAGTTTCAAGTTCAGATGAGATAAATTTTGTGTCACAAAAGATGAGTAATTAATAATTTTCTTAAATCCTCCCTGACATTTTAACAGACAGATCATTTGTATGAGATGCTTGAAGATTTTTTCAAATATTCGCTATCCATACCGGAGAGCATCTCATCTAAACATACAAAATCCAATTGCACATATCAGCAAAATGAGATTTTCATCCTCCAAAATGTAAGGAGAATTTTCTCAGTAGCTGAAGGGGTTGTTTCTTTTGGCATGACTTCCAAAAGATTTTGTCTCTTCAGCAGTGTACATCTGCTCTGCCTGTTAATCCTTACTTCTCACTATCTTGACCAATCTCTCTTCAGCTGAACCCGATGGTTCTGCAGTTAAATGAATATCTTGCAGCAAAGGGCAACTTCTGGATTCTAGCACAGCTCTGGGCTCTGTTGAGCCAAGCAGCCCCACCTGAACCTGCACCCCTTCCCCTTTAAACAAACACAACATATGCTGTAGCCAGAGAAATAGTTTTTGTTGTAGGACTCAGTTAAGAAATAGCGTCTGAGGTCTGACTTTAGGCACATTCCTGATCTAGTTTTAAATGTGTGTCATTTAAGCTTATGAGCACCCTGAACATTTTATAAATTTTATCTACTCTGTTTCCACAGTGGACAAGTATCCAGAAATACTTTGGCAGAAGTGTGCTCTGAAGAATCATCAGCTTCATGTGACCTAAGAAATGTTGGATGGTGTGGTTTCTAGCCTACTGACAAAACTGTATTTCAGGACATATTCCAACTTAGTAGACTGAATAATCAAGTGTTATAGTCCAATCTCCTGCTGTTGAAACTTGCCTGTTTGTGCAGAGTTGCCATCTGTATTTTTCTAAGCAGACATTAAGCAGGACTTGACCTGGGAAAGCTGCTACAGAGAAGAAATAACTATTTTGGCACCTCAAACAGCAGTGGCAGATGTATTAGTGAAAGTCAGGAGATGAATGAAAGCCAGGAAAAGTAAGAAAATAGAAAGAAGGTAACACTTCAGTATCAATAGCAGACATGAACATGTGCTTCATGGCATAATTTGCTATAAGCTCAGCATTTACAGGATTTATTATTGCAAAATTTCTACTTTGGACAGATTATTCAGGTAAGTTATCTTTGGGAAAACTGGAATGCTGGTGGATTGCCCATTGCTCAAAAATGGTATTGTATATTTTAACCACAGGCTTAAAAGTATGCATTATATTCTCTAATTTGAAAAACTCTGTCAATAAAGAAAATTAATAAATAGCAAACCAAAAACAAGACAAATAGAGGGGTTGGTGAAGTGGTGGCACAGAAGGGAAAAACCACACACACAGAATTTTATTAGGCATTATTATGAATTTTTTAGTAATTTCTTTTTCCCTTTGCCTTTACTATTAAATAAATTGTACAGTAATTGCACATTGTTTAGTCCTGTTTGTACAATTCCTCCTCATATTTAGTGTCACCAAGCATCTGGTAACACAAAATTCACAAGGCATCAGAAAGGACAGATCCCTTACTCCATACCTTCTTTTGGACTCCATCTCAAAATCTGTCCCAGCAGTTGGTAGCACTTGTACTTTGTCTTCTGTTTTTCCAACTTTTTTTGGTTTTGTTTATTTGTTTTGAGTGTGGCATGTTTGATTCCAGATGGTTTTGTTTATTTTTTTTTAAGTGTGGCATGATTGATTCCAGAGATATCCTGGAGTCCTCACTCATGCCATCAGAGCCAATACTGGATACCGGGGAGCGGATTTATCTGTGAATTAAGAAGTTTGCATTCTATTTGCATGCCAAGGGAAAGAGAAATTACTTGTTAACAAACAGAAACTGGTGAGAAGCTGGAAGTAAAACCTGCATCCAAAGCACACAGAAATGAATATTTTGCATCAGGACTCACATCTGGAAAAGTGTTTTCTGCATATGAGAAAAACCATCCTCTTCCTGCTAATAATTTTCAATTTTTTTTAGGGAAAACTTAATTGTTACAGATTTCAGTGGTGCATAAAGTGAAGGAAAGGGGTTTTGAAAGGTCTGAGGAGTTCTGCTGAGTGTGTTTGAAAGACTGTCTCCTGCTCTTGGTGTTTCACCATTGGCCTTAATGACAAGATAACATATATTATGTTACAGGCTAAAAAAAATGGAATTCCCATGGAATAAAAGCTTCATCTTCTGCAGTACTGGGCAGAGCTGGGTAAAGCAAGTGACATGTTGGCAGGGAAACACTGGTTGCATGGACAGGAGATTATATTACTGTGTCCCAGTACTGAGTCATTTCTGTATCTCCCTATAAAAGCAAGGCAGTGTTAGGATGCCCCACTGCTCTCGATGACATGCTCATTCTCCAGTACTCACCTGTGTTTGCCCCAATCATCTGGCAATATAAACCTCCTCGGATTTTCCAAATGCTAACAGGAGGAAATGAATCTATGCTTTGCAGCTCTGATTACAACCTAACAAAAGGAAGGGTTTGCTATCCATAAACTACTGACCAAAGCTATGGATCAAGTGGCTACTGAGCATATTCACTACATTTAGAGACATTCTGGATGACTTCTAAGAGGACCTTATGGCATGTCATGGCACTACTGGTACCTGTCTAGGCAGATACTTTTAGCTGACTAAGTCCAGCTTCTCAGTCCCTTTCCCCAGAGCACAGTCTTCAGAAGCACAGAGGATCTGGACTTAACTTACAGGCAGTTTGTAAAATTTCAGCAGTAACCAATCATTTGATGAGCTGTCTGAGGCACATCTCTTGGTATTTTGCAGACAATGGTGAGCTCACTCTGACTACCAACTAAATTGAACAGAATTTATAGTTGTAGAGCACTAAGCCCAAACCAGTGCATAGTATCTCTCCTCAGCAGATATTAACTCAAGAGATAGAATCAATATACTTGTATTATACGCAACATTTGGGTTATTCAAGCATGGGCTAACAGGTTCACATGTGCTCATAAATCCCAGACAAAAGTTAAAAATTCAAAAGGGCAAGGAATGAAATTAAGCAGAGAGAATTTTGAGGCAGTATGTTTAAGTGACAATTATCAATTAAAAATGAGCCTACAGTGGAAGAACTGAGAAAGATAGGCCTTTAAAAATAAGATCTGTGGATCACAAACTGAATAACAACATACTACTGTAAAAATGAGCACATATATTCAAGAAGTATACATCTAAGAAGCAATTTTTCCTTTCTCTCAGTACCCTGAACAGTTTGGGCAGTAAGCTGGAGCCATAGATGTTTAGATGAATTGGAAATAGGCTATAGGAGAGTTAAAATGTGACTTACATTATCTAGGAAACATGAAAGGCTAATTGAATTGGGACCATTAAGCCTGAAAAGACAGAAAGAAAGAAAGGAGGCGGCACACAATAACAACCAGCCTATGTAAAATGCTGTTTCCAGCAGAAGGGACTCAGGTTACACAACTGGAAGAACCTTTAAAAAAATAGAGAAGCCCTGGTCTGCCTGCAGAGCTTTCATTCTTGGAGCTTTTTAATAACTGGCTAGCCAAATATTTGTCAGCAATGATATCAAGATAACTGATCCTGCCTAGGCAGTAGAGGATGGACTACGTGCCACCTCAAGGTCACCTTGAGCTCTGTGATTTTATAAAGGGTAAATAGAACAAATCTGCAAAATACTCTCAGGCTAAATGTAGCCTCTCAAAAGATTTAACTGCAAAAGGGTCACTTATTCACTTAGGCAAATGTGCCTTGGAAAATCCCTACAACAACCTGCAATGTTCACACAACATATTAGGAAAAAAGCAGAATTAATTCAAGAAAATGCTTAAAATGGGAAATTTCTCTAAATAGTATGATTCTGAAAAATGACAAAGGTATAACTACCATACTACAGCTTCAAGGACAGGCAAACTTCACCAGAAACTTCCTGCAAGAAATTATTCATTCACTCTCAAATAATCACAGAACTAAAAATCAAACCAGAAAGAGAATTCAAGCTTACTGCAACACCGCTTTTTCCAAGGTTTCCTTGATCTCCTTGTTCTCCCTGTTAAATATAGAAAACAGATGATGTAGTTAATTACAAAAGTAATTTCTTTCATATCTGTATATCAAAGTCCTCTATTTTCTTAGGAACTTCTTTATTTTCTAAGTTACATCAGCCAATTTAAACTTTAAAAGCTAAAATTAAACAACCAATAAAAAATTTTGTCAGTGGCTAATTTTGATTTTGTAAAATGATGTCCTAATGTATTCAAGACTTGCCCACAAAAATGTAAACTATGTATTAAGTGCTCACTAAATGCATTAAGTTAGCAAATACTATAAACAAACTTTTTATTTAAATCTTCCTTTCAACAAATTACTTTCACTATTTCACAACTGCTTCAAAGGTAAATGTTGCCTGTGCACACCATTGATAACTGTAATTTTGTTATGAAATACTAGGAAAATTGACATTTGAATGACATTTGAATACACTTCCCCTTCTCACCCCCAAAATCTTGGAACTGTCATTCAGTATTAGATTAATTCTGTTCTCTTTAATAATGCTGCAAGTCACGTTATATAATTGGAACATTTTTTTGCTTTTTTACAAGTGGAAGCTGGGTATATATGCACTATTAATTATCTGGCTATGACTATAATCTCAGTTATTCAATAACTAACAAGCAATTATTTGCATATTGTTTACACAGATTGCAGTTCAGCACTGAGAAATTCTGCTGTCACTGGCTCCTCTTTCAAACTGTAGCACTTCATCTCATCCCCACTCACCCCTCCAAAATCCTGCCAGTGTAAGAACTGCCCTGAGTCCCCCAGAGTTGTCCCCAGGCTCAGGCACCCTCACATCCCCAGGCAGTTAGATTTCATTTTAGCAGGCACACTCTTTGTTCACACATCCCTTTCTCCTAGAGCTACACAATTTCCTTCTTTTCCAAAATGGGATCTTGCAAGCAAGCAGAATCACCAGTATGATATATATTGATATTATATGGAAATGTGTACTCATACTCTTTCATTGGTATGCCACTGTATGTGGCAGTGTATAACTATACAGTTGAGCCTCCAAATATATTCTACTTTATACACAAAACCATCACTTACCTTTAAACCTTCTGGTCCAGGATCACCTATATACCCTTTCTGTCCTGGTTTTCCCTAAAACAAGGATTAGAATAAAATATTGTAAATATTTTATTTACAAATAAGGAAAAACTATCACAGTCCGAGACTGAAATCGTCTCAATTTCACTTTGGAAAAACATTAGGCAGATAAGAAAAAAGGCAAGGCCATGTTCTCTCTTGCTAATTCCATCAGCATAGGGAGTCACGCTAACAGAATCCGACATTCAGACTTCAAGGACTGATGTCATAACTGCCCTTCTTTAACCAGGCAAAATCAGTTCTAATATCCTTTCCTCTTTATTCAGAAAATAAATGATGAATTTAAGCCTCATCTCTCTCCACTAGCACTTTGCTGCTGATAGTTCTTGTTGCTATGATACATTGTCAATAACGTATTGTTAGCTGGAAGAAATACTGCAACATCAATCAGAGCAGGAGGCCACAAAGTGACAAGATCTTTGAAGCATTTTATAACGTGCATCCCTCCCTCTGTTGTCACTCCTACAGATCCCCAAAGACATACAAACCACAATGCTTTCCCTCTTAATTTTCAGCTAGATGTTTATAATGTAATTATGTCTCCCTTTCAGGGGGTTGTTTTCCTTCCAGGTGTACTTTACTTCCTCTACAACATCAAGCATAGCCTAACCCTTTGGTCATCTGGACAGCACAGTTTTCTCCACTTGCTCTGAGGAAAAGGCCCTAGTCCAGAAGCAAAGGTCCAGTGGACTGGATCTGGCTCTTGAGCAAGTTCCTAATGAGATGACTGAAGGCTGACATCTGGAGAATGAAAATTAATTCAACATTTTAATAATTCAGTATCAAAAAGGTGCAGATTTCTGCTAAAAGGAAATTATCACCTGCTGTTCCACCAAAATAAATAGTTGCAGTCCCCAGAGTCTGTAATGAGAGCTTTCCATTCCACATCGGCTATCCTGAGACGTGCAACTAAAGCAATAGGTAATAAACAGATTTCCTAAAAAAAGATGGCATTTTTTCATTTGGTTCTTTTGCTTCAACTCCTCTGTGCCTGTCTTTCAGAGCATAACATGTGTATTAGTTTCTGGGCATCTGAGAAACTCTCTACATGGCTTAAAATCATATTATCTTAGGAGGTTCCATGACTTCTCATGTTAATCCCTTTCTATCTCTCTCATTCTCTCTGCCTACCTGAGTGACTTCATTTTGCCCAGCAAAAATGCTGGATATATTTGTTATATCCAACAAATAACACCATTTTAGGAACATATTTTTGTTTTTGCCAATGGCACATCCAGGAATGCAGGGTAAAAAGACCACAAAGAGAAGTTCTGAGAGATCCAGACAAAGCAAGTCATGTCTTCCCACAAGGTTCAGCAAAGAATGAGTGATGGACTTCCGCAGGTCACTACATGTTGTTTAACTACTTTGCTCTAAAGAACTTTAGGGTTTTTCTAGACAGCAAGACTATAACAAAATTTTTTCAAGTGAAACTCATTGAAAGAAAACTAGTGGCCACTATTAACTACCTTGATAACTTTAGTCCTATGGGAGCTGAATTGGAGTTACAACTTGTAAAGATTTCTTGGCTCATTCCCCATTTATGTACAAGCTATGAAGGATACACAACAGATAGAAGCTGATCAGAAAATGGAACAAGTGTATTTAACTGGTAAACTGATTTGAAACACACAGATTTCACTTTAAACAGAAATACAATACAATTATATACAGAGTAAAAGCCACTGACAGAAGATTAAACTAGGGATAGTTACTTTTCTGCTTGCAAACCCCTGAGAAAATTACTCTTCCAAGGCAGGGTAATCCCAAAGGAAATGTCTGTTTCCTAAAACAGAAATCTCAAATTATGTGATCAGATTAATTTTGAAAACCTCTTCCAAAGTTCAAACAGACTGAGCTCTGTGGAACTGATATATATGCTGAGCAAGCAGGGGAGCATCCTTAATTTAATCTCAAGTTGTTTTAGAAACATGGGAATTTCTTTTCAAGTTGGGACCTGAGAACCAGGGTCCAGGTTCATATTCACTTTCTGTTCATCATCCATTGCAGAGAATGATCTATTTTGATGGCACACTGGTCAGGCGGGTCCCAGGGGTTTTTGGTCTTTTGCATGCTTTTTTAGAAACAAGGGCAGGGGAAGAGAGGAAATTTAGGTGAGAATTTATGGCTGGCTGCTTGGTACATGCCTAAACCTGAACTGAAAACTGCACAATAGAAGAGATGAGGATTCCAGAAGCTCTAGAAATCTGCTCCATTACTGCTTAATGAGAATAATCAAAGGTGCACAGTATATCACTGGCAAGGGTACTTTACCTAGTTTAGACTAAGCCTAGAAAAGTCAAAGTAACAGTGGCTGAGAAGAGGACTAAGGTGTTAACGTGTTAACCGTGCCCACAAATAAGATCCGTAAGGGCATGAAGCAAGGCTGTAGTGAGAAAGGCACAGGCAAGATTTTTGGACAGAACAGTTAGACATCAGAAAAAAAGTCTGTAAAACAGGCAAACAAACAAAGCAGACTGATGAGGAGAATGAAGAATCCTCAACTCCTGAAGGCTGCAAAACACAAGTTAAACACATCTATCAGCTAAAGCCAGAGCTGACAGCTGATAGTGCCGTGCCCTGGGGCTATGCATGGCCAGACCACCTCTTCAGTTCCCTCTCAGAGACCTCCTCTGCCCCCATGGCTATTTAATTAGTGCAGGGACAACACAATTTTGCTAGTGTTTACTTTCAGATGCAGCATTCACTCTGTTAAGCTTCTTCCAAGGAAATAGGAAACAAAGCCTGTTTACACAAATGAATGTCAAATTGCAATTAAGCAAGCATAATTTAAAAAGAAAGATGTGTTCAGCAGCTTATTGACTAGCCCTGGTAAACTATGTCAGATTTAACAACTTCATGATTGTGACTCTCTCCATTGTAATCACACAGTCTGTGTTACATGTGGGAGTGAAGTAGCAAGGACAAGCAGAGATGGGAGCAGAGTTCAGAGCAGCAGCCAACAAGTTGGTCTGGAGCTGTGAAACAGCTGGAGCCAACAGAAGCTAAAGAATCCAGGCAAAAGCAGATGGGCCCCTGGATGAGGAGGAAAAAGAGGCAGGGCTGCCCATCAAGCAAAATTCCCTTTTCCCCTACCTCTCATTTCAGGAGGGGATGTTAGCCAGCAAGCTACTAAAAAACGTCTGGAGACAGCAACCCTGGGGCCCACCTCGGATCCACACACTCGTCTCTCAACAATTTGCTGTGAGAGAGAGAAACCAGAGAGCCACAAGACATGCCAACGGTGTGCGCATCTCCCATTGAGAGAAATAAAAAACAAAATAATTCAGGTCAAAGTGACCCAAAATAGATTAAAAACATTTCAGCTTGCTAGGTTACACAGAAATTCTTCCTCTTGGGTCACTTTGACACCAGCTGTTGGTCGCCTGTGCATGCCTGGTGACGTATGGGATGTGAGAGTAGGTGTCTTATTGCCCATGAGTCACTACAACATCTTCTTTTCCAATTGCCACAGCACAACATGGGGTTGCTTTCTCGCCATGAAGCCCTGCCCAAGGAGGAGATTCCAAGTATGATGTAGCCAAAATAAAAATTTGAGGTTCTCAGCAGAAGCTCAGAGAGATTCAACTGAATATTGAACTAAGTTATAGTGTTTTGAAATTCCATTTAATTTTTTGCATGTTTTCCTCATCTGAAAAACAAGGAGACTTATGGGAAGGTTTTTTGTTTGGATTTTTCACTTGTTTGTTTTGTTTGGGGTTTGTTTATTTTAACACCTAATCTATGTGACAAATAAAGGTTTTAATATTATTTCTGACATAAAGGAAATTCCCAGCTTTGACTAACTAATAAGCAAGAAAAATGACATAGATATATATTCACTTTAAAAGCAGGAAACAGTGCAAAAGACTTTCTCAAGTTCATACAAGAAATGGGAAGTCAACCAGAATGAAGACCAAGCCAGCGATTACCACAAATAAGCAAATCAAGTAAAGGTAGAAGATAAAATTGCATTCAATAAACTTAGTGACACTCCTGTAATCCCTAGTGCAGGTCAGTATTCATTTTAGCTTAGAATATTTTTAAAAATAAGCTTCCAGGTTACTAAAATGCTCTGGTATATTTTTAATAAGTAACAAAGAGATTGGATGTTAGTTTTAAAAAGGTCACCATAAACAGGATTGTGACATTCCAGCTTTCATTTTTTCAGTATCTACCAAGGTTTCTTTTTTTTTTGTTGGTGTGTTGGTTGCTGGTTTTGTTGGGTTTTTTTGGGTTTTTTTAAATTTTAAAATATACCTCCTTTTTATTTCTCCCTGTGAGCCAGTTGGGTTGTTCTTTTCCCCCAATTTAAATATTTTGATATATCACCTAGTTCAGTCCCTAGGAAGTGCACGGTGGTTTCATATGTCTTAGAGGAGCACCATAAGCAGTTTGTTACTTATTCCTTCCTTTTCAAATATTTTATTTTGAGGCATAATTTTTTTGATGGAAAATCACTTTCATTTTATCACAGTCACTTCTCACAGTAAATGTACACTTTAAAGCAGTCCTCCTACTGAAAAATAGCCTGCCTCTAACAAAATTACTTATACTTACTTTTGGGCCAACTCCTCCCATAGGTCCAGCCGGTCCCACTTCTCCCTAAAAGAAATCAGGACTTCAATTATCTTGATGTCAAGTCTCATTTTAAAAAAACCCAAACTGCAGATAACTGTTTGTATTTATTTTATCCTCTGATGAGTGTTTGTATGAGTCCAAGTCTGATAGAAAGACTGTAAGACAGACAAATTGATTAGCCAGAAAGCCAAGACCTATGTAGATGCAACAAGAAGGGCTGTGAAACTGCAGGTGTACCTAGCATGATAGCAATATTTTCACAATTTTGAGCAGGTAGAGGCTCAGTAATGATGGGTCAATCTCTGTTTGCTCCACAGTTACTCTATTGTGGCAACATTTGACACCCATGACTATAAAAGCAGTGGGAACATCCCTGCTTTTCCCTTCTATGTTGCTATGGCATTTTGCCAAGGTTTAACGCCTATCTCTTCTCAAGGATGGAGGGAAGCTGAGGGTCAGGTTTATCAGCTGTATAAGAGAAGAAATGAGACACTGTGCCTGTGCTGTGCAGTGCACTGATACAGAAAAGAACAGTGTGGAACTGCAGTGTTAACTCTTCAGGGTTCACTCATTACACAGTTAAAGCATGAATTATTACCAACTGTGGTCCACTGTTCCTCCTTAATATGGGAGATTTTCTCCAAGTTTTGGAGGAGGTGGTACACAACTTTTTCAATTACAAGCAACAGGAATTAAGAAATCCTGCCTGTTTCCTGGCTTCTAACTAAACAGATCATTTTGCCACTGTTAGTTTTTACTCTCTCAACACCTGTTATGGAAGTCCATAATTTAGATACAAGTCTAAAGATCTATCCCCAGAATCACTAATTAAATAATTTCTAATGTTAATTATTTTTAGCCTATGAGACATAAGTTTTTATTTTTATGATGATGAATTAAAAATACTGAATTAATCTATAAGATGAAGAGCTACCTTTCTCCTCCTTCAGTTAACAGGGTTCTGTTTACTTAGGGGTATCTAGGACACTATAGTTAAATTGATTTATGCTTTCTATCTCCATACTAACTCACCACCAAGACCACCATCTCCCCAGTTTAACTAAAAGAACCACAACAAACTCTGGACATGTATTACCTGAGATTCCACTGAAATAACTAAAATAAACACCATAATGAACGGACAGCCCCATAAGGCTGCTAAAACCTCTTCGGAACACTTGCCAAAATACAAAAGAAACTTTGAATTTTGCATGATAACATCCTACACACCTAGCCATTGTCGTCTAACCCTCTTACACCTCCTAACTTTTTGTTTAAAACATAATCTCTTGACTGGATAATGTTTTGATCTTACCTCTACTCCTTTGGGGCCTTGAGGCCCTGGAGGACCTCGGTCACCCAGAAGTCCCTAAACATCCAAACAAACACAGTGAAAACTTACATCAACAGACAATCATACTGGTCCAGTTTCTCTCCTCTTATAAACCTGGACAAAAATGAAAAACTGAAGAAGCAGGTTTCATTTCTTACCACTGTTCATAGGATTTCCTTTAGAGAGCCAGGAGAAGATGCAGAAGAATTTTAATATCTGCTGGAAAATTTCTACCACATAGATTAGCTGAAGCATTTCTCCACTGATGTTGTGAAAAGGAAGAAAATATTGAACTCACAAAAGAACAGTTCCTCTCTTTTGAAAGAGTTAAAGCATGCCATCATATTAAGTTTAAAGCATCATCGATGTACAAATCTTTGATTTAGGTAGTCTGTAGAATAATATGTGATTATGACATTGCAATGAAAAGAAGCTACAAATTGAATTTAATCTACTAGCTTGTCCAAAACTACATGTGATTTTCAGCCCTTTCTTTTCTGTTACGACTATAATCAACTTCACAGAGATAAAGCACATTATTCTCTGCCAACTCAGAGTTCTCATGACTGCTCACACCAACATTTTCAAAACTTTGTTAAAATGAATTTGCAGCTAGCAATGTGTTAAAAACCTTGGGCATCCCAATTACAATGGCAATAACTAGGAAAAGCACTTGACCTGGCGTAGAACAAAAAAAAAGTTGTGTAAACATATTAATGTTCTGGGAAAGCTAAGCTTAACAATATCAGATAAAGCAACAAGAACAAAGAAACTGCATTTTAGGAGTGAAATGATTAACCTCTGAAGAAAGAAATGGCAGGAAAGTTCCAAGGGTAAGCCTTATTAATTGCATACTAATGAAGCTGAAGTCTAGACAGAAGGTGCAGGCATTGGTCCAGTAACAATTTACTCAGCATGGAAAGTAAAATTGAAGAGAAAAATGGAACAGGCCACCTCAAGGTTCCAGTTTTTCCTCCAAGAACAGATGAGGTTGGGAAGGACTGGGGAGGGTTGCTGTTTGACATACCACCACAAAAGCGACAAGAGGGCTTTCAGTAGCACTGTGTAAGTAATAATCTTATTTAGTTAGTAATGAATTTTTTTTACGGACAGAACTGTTGTTTTGTTCTAACAGCAAATCCCTTTAAGAGAAACGGCTTTCAGTACAATGTGATTGCACAGTGGAAGTGGTAGCAAAACTGCTACTGTACACACCCTTCCACTGCACTTAACTGGATCCAGAAAAAAGTCCCAGATTGTAAACTGAATATTAAGACTTAATGAAATTTCCATCTTCTCTTTGAGGTTTAAGGCAACAAATAGAAAAATGAAGGTAGACATTACAGATGTGCCAAAGTGTTTGGAAAAAAACCAGGGGAGTCAGCAAATGGGGTATCCTGCATTTCACATGTATAAATTCCCAGCTGACCATCCCTTCCAGAAAAGGTGAAACTACTAATAGCCACTTCTATTAAATGTGTTACACAAACAAACATAAGTGAACAGAGGAAGGAAGCTCTCAACTGCTTCCATGGCACAACACGCACAACTGGAAAAACTACAGTGGTAGTCAGCATATTCTGACCATCTTTTCCTCTCAGTTTTCTCAGTTAGAGAGCATAAATACTTGCAAGAATAACATAGGAAACAACCTCAGTTATTTCAGATCTTCTTAAAAACATTCTTATTCCCTTTCTTTAAAAAGTGTGTGTTGTTTTTTATTTTTTAATAAGTGGTGGATCAAGATCACACACGTTCTAAAATACTGTTTTCCAAGCTGAGTAATGTTCTCTAGACCTAATTACATAATAAATCCTTTGAACATTGATTTAGAGAGGTCAGATATGCTGATTACTGCACTAATTTAAGGAAAATTTACAATCCAGAACCTCTACTGGCATTTAGAGACAGCTGATCACACTCAACAGAGCTTAAACTTCCCACCAAGAGGCTGAATTTATCGCACGCCAACTGCTAAAAAATAAAGCTTGCCCTGCTTTCTTGGTTTTTAAAATGAGTATTACTTCTGAGGAAGCATAAACAAAAACATGAGGAAAATAGCAGCACAGTGAGAACAGTTCTCCAAAAATAAAAGCTAGAGGAAATTTTTTAGAAAATTTTTTGCAATCAACTTAAGACAGCTGGGAATCCCAAAGGCCAAACACTTCCAAAGTCATGCAGCCCTTCTCCCTCAGTACGAGGAGCAGCATAAGAGTTTTTCCAGTTTAGTAATCTTTCTTTTCAAATGTAAGCCATCAGCTCTCTCTGATTAGGACAGGCTGTCTAAGCTTTCTGCCTCTAACACCAAATGTGCTGGAGAGCACTGGATCTTGTTCAGCTATGTAATGTCTGCATCAAAGATACATGGAGGCTTAAACTTTGTAGGCTACCTTTTAGTACCTTTATTTCTAACTCTGTGAAAAGGCAACAGTTGGTAACATATTATTAACCATCAACCAAATTCTAACAAAAACGCTTTGGATATAATGTGCAATAATACAATCCCAGCAAAGAAACTGGGCAGCAGGGATTAGATCTCAGTTACATCATTCGTTTATCACCTTGGACAATTGAATCTGAACTACAGTTCAAGAACTGTTGTATTTCTCTTCTCCTATTTCCAAAGACAGTGTTTTTACTTAAGTGCTCTGGTAACTCAGAAACATAGAAGCAACTGCCACTATAATGGTCAGACAAACTCATTCATATAAGGCAATATATACATACAAACAAGTTAGCAAAGCAATAAATCAGAACTGAAAAGAAGGGATTATTTGAGATGTTCTCAAGAATGATCCCTTTGGCATGGAGGTATTGTTACAATCTTCCAGGAAAGAGTAAGACCATATCTTTAAACTATTTACTGCTCCCCATACTACATTTTCTTGAGCAGTCTGCCACAGAATTTCACAACTCAGTTGATGGAAAATATTGCAATTTCCATGTCTGTTTATTCATGGACAACCTTATGTTTTGTTCTTGGACAACTGATACCGCTGGTCTTGCACAGTTCTTTTGCCTCACCAATGTCTGCCTTCTGTTTTACTTAAAGCTCAAAAAAGCCCTTCATTTTGGTACAATAAATAAACTGTCTCCAAGAATACAAGCATGCAAGCGTTCTTTTCTTCATCTAGTCTCACTTGATTGAGTCCTGGAATACAAACACCCAGAACTGTACTACTTAGATAAAGCCTTCTCATGCTTTGTGCATCAATGAGACACCTTGCCTCCTGTGTTCTAGAATTTCACTCAATTTCTGTTTTATTGTGCTTTTATTTCAGAGAGATTTGGCAATGTCTTTGGTCCAAGTTTACAGTAGCATTTATTGTTTTAGTCCTTGCATGAATCAATCCGAAATAACAGAAGTGGAACAAATTAGCAAAAAGTGTGGTTTTTTAGATCACCCAAAGATGCTCAGTTTTGCTTCATATACATATTTCATTCCATTGTATTTGTGACTATTTATCACAGAAAATACAATGTAAGAATAGTTCCAAGGCTGGTAAGTGAGGAACTTCATAGGTACCTGCCTTTCAACAACAAGTAGTCAATTTTTAGATATTATTCAACTACCTTCCTCTAGGTTAATTTCTGACTCACCTGCACTTTTTGTACTAGTCTCTATAGTTTCCATTAAAAAAATAAAATTCCATATGTGCTTTTATCCAAAGCTTCATTAAAATTGTATTTGTGAATTATTGCCTCAGCTGGGTCTATAATATTCATCTACTAAAGAGCAGAAGCTAAATTATTCCCTTACAGTCATTTTTTATATCTATTATTATATCCATAATTTAATCCAGCATGTGAATTTTATCCATTTTTCATATCTTCAGCTACTATTTCTTTCAAAAACTGTTAAAAGCAGTTTGTATTACTCGGGTGGGACTGAGTTATACCAAGATCTGCATGCATTTGGCATGCATTTTATTTAAACACAGGTGAAACATCTGCTACTTTCTAGCTACATATGATTTTCTCACACTTACCTTGCCATTACTTTCTTCCACCCAACACAGTTAACTACTCTCATGACTGTCTGGACAGTATTAAACATTCAAATAACTTCCTCATATAAATACCTGAGGCAAAGTACCTGTATTCTGACAGTAAGATTACCTTCTCATAATGCCAGTGTCCACCTCTCATAACCTTTCCCTCAAAAATTTACAATGTTTCCTCTTATTTTGAATAGGTTTTCATATAATCTTACCTTAGGACCTTCAGGGCCATTTAATCCAGGTACACCAATATCGCCTGGAAAACCCTAAAGAAATCATACAGAAAAATGATTTGCAGTGTAGGAATGTTTCCAATGTACTTGCTTTGATTCTGTTGATTCATTTAACAAACCTGAATCACAAAAACAAGAAATAAATTTGTTCTACCATCCTAAAAATGTCAAAATTAATTAAGTTTCCCTGAAAGGACTTGGATATGTGACAGATTTTAGACAGCTTTCATTAAACTCACTTTAGCAGATGTCAGCATAGATTTAATTTCTCTAAGCATAAGACTTTTTATCCACTAAGCAATGTTTGAAATGAAGCCATTAGACTGCTTTGGATGGACAACACCACCAAGCAGCCAGCATCAGGTCCTGCACTTACAAATTCAACTCTTTTTTGAAAAAAGTTTAGAGTGCAGCTGAAGCCCTTTAATCCTTGGTCACACTTTCAGGATGAGATCACTGCAAGATTAAGAAAAGGGTAGGAAGCCTTTTGCCTCTAAATCAGCAGGTGATAATCTAGGTCTGGCTGGCAGTAACTGAAGGGCATCAGCATGCAGCATTATTCAGAACAGGCCTTTGTGAAATAGTGTGTGGTATAGGTCAAGCTGTTGTAAAGAAAAAGTAAAGATGCACAGAAAATGAATCAAGTAAAATAATCACAGCGAAACATCAGGCCAGTAGGCATTGAGTGCGACACCACGAGGATGCCTCTATATCAGAGGAATTCAGTGCTACAACTGGATTGCTTTATAAGGAATGAGTGTATTTTCAGGGAAAAGAATGGTGCAGCTAACCCTTATGCAATACAGTAGTGAGTAAAGTTCCATAAATATCGAGAGAAGATTTCTAATCCTTATATTTGTAGAATAAAATAAAGCACTGGTAATTGACCCTTTAGTTAGCACAGTCACCTGCCAAAATAGTATTTGATTTTGATTTTTAAATAAACTATTAATGGTCATTAAATCTTGACTACCTGAAAACAGCAACACTGCCACTTCCACTGAGCAAAATATTTATTACTACACCTATGCACAACCACGGTTTAGAACTAGAAAAAACAAATTTCCTTCTTCCTTAAGAGAAAATCATTAAAGATCAAAATTTACAAACATCCCTACTTGCATGCATACTCTTTTCAATAATGGAAATGAAAGCATCATACATATTCAGAACAATTTAAAGGACATCTGATAGAGAACATCCAGCATGAAATTCTCTCCAGCATCATAATGTAGGCTAATATATGTCATCATTAAAACTTCAAGAGCCACATTCTAGCTTCTCTGAACAGGAAAGAGGTATTTAAAAAAATTGCCTCGCCAGTGGATAATAGTTAACCATACTCTGTTCTTCAAAAACAGTTGAGTTTCAAATACAGGTAAATATTTCTAATGATTATTCATAACTAGCTGACATTAATCACCAAAAACTTACTAGAACGATAAAGATAAATCATATCAGAGTAAGAAATGTAAAAGCAAATATCATTTTATCCTCAACTACCATATGTTTGCTTTCTATAACCTGGTCTTAACAGGATGCAGAGAGACTTTACAGTAAGGATTTGGATGGGATGCAAATGTTTTTAGTCCTGTTTATACATTAAATAAATTTATAAACCAAAATATGAACCAGAATTATGATTTATTTTTAAAAAATCAGGTCTAGTATTTGAGTGCCAATGAGTATTAAAAGCAAACCACTAAAGAGTAAAAACCCTATGAGTTTCTGAGTAAGTGGAATGACTCTAACACTCAGTATTTCACAAAACATCACAGTGGTTTAATTTCTTTTGACATAAAACAGTAATTACTAGTAAAGCTGTGCAACAATTCCAGTGTGCCTCTAGGTGGCACAGAGCATATTATTTTCATGTGACCAAGGCATTGAGACTGATACCTAAAGCACTCACTTGCATCACCCTAAATTTCTATATAGCTCATAAGAGGAGGTGTTTGATGGTTTTTTTTTTTTTTTTTTTTGTTTGTTTGTTTTTTAAATCCTGACCACCATTATCTACTGGAACACGCTGAAGAGTTAGGTCAATTCTTCAGAAGTTTCTAACTCATCCTTTCTTAAGTTTAAATTTGCTTCTTTACAGACATCAAATAGTTACCAAGGGGTGGGTTGTTTTGTATGTCTGCAAACCTTTAAGTTTCTAATATGTGAACAAGTGCAAATTGCTGACACAGGGACAACTTCCCTCACGGCAATAAACATTCCAGAAAACAACATGTCGAGAAAAATGTAATTTACAAAGATTCTCATGCTTGTATAAGAGGATACATCTACTTTATTTATTTATTTATTTGTATGAATTTTTCTAGAAAAAATTCAGTTAGGACCATGAAATATAAGTGTTGATAAATATTATCACAGAACAATAATGGTATTTGGAAACCTTTCCATGTCAGGCAAAGTCTTAGGATGCAGAGGGCTACTGGTCTGAGAGCAGACACTAGCAATGCATTAAAAAATTTGAAAACCTCACCATTATCTTTTCTGTGAAGCTGGATTAAGACTTTTCTTCTCAAGCACAACCATGGAGAAAATGCAGATGCTATGGCAGTATTACAAGTCTGTTTCCAAAATGTTCTCACATTAATAATCTATGAAATAAGTGTAATAATCCAGGGCACAAACAGCCACTTAAGACAATTACAGAAAAAGAATGAACCAGAAAGAAGTTCTTAAAACACCTCAGCAATGGCACTTGCCATTCAGATCCCTAATAGTGAAGTGGTACACATTTCTATCACTATCTAAAGTTGCCAAGAGTTATTCAGCAGCCAGCTCCCAGTGAAGCTATTCCAGATTAAAAATTCATTATTCTTCCATAAGTGAAAGGTAGGAGATTAACATACAGTTTCCAGCTGCAGCATAGTTTTCAGCAGAGACCATTCAAAACAAAACATCGCTCGATATTATGGCTTCTGCTAAGGAAATGCAACGCGTAGATTCTTAACTTCCTGCCAGCCAGAAGTCTGGCAGCTCCTAGTATACAAATTATTTTCAAAATATTGTTGCAGATGTGGTCTTTTGCCAGCAAAGCACTTTAGAGTTCACTGTATTTAATCAAAATAGAAGTGACATCAGAAAAATCTGAAGCACCAGCTATCTCAACACAAATATGCTTTAACCTCGGCGTGGAAATGTTGCATTTTGTACTGAACATTTAAATATAAAATTAACATATTTATTGCTCTCATTTATATAATGTTTAATTAACAAAAAAAAAATGCAGAGATTATCAGGTTGTTATTATGTTAGTGCATGTCTCAGTGCCTAGAGATAATCACTCTGAAGAAAACACAAAACACAGGAGGGTCACATGAACAAGCATTGTTTGACAATGTAAAAAGTTAAAGTAAAATGAATATTTCTGCAAAATTAATACATATTCATTGAAAAAAAACACCCCAAGGTACATACTTAAGTAACTTTGGGAAAGAATCAGCTAAAGATTCTGTGCAAAAGCAAGTAGAAAGTATAAGCAATTCTATAATAAGAACAGCTCTTCAAATGTATGCCAGAACATGCAGCTAATTCAGCTATTAAGTTGTTTTTATTCCTATATTTCCTTCAAGTCATCTGCATGCAAGTTAGTTGATGCAATATTGAAACAAGAACTGTTATCACTACTCATGGCATTTTTTGCACAAACTCAAAAAATCATGTGATAAGATAAAACACACACTAAAAATAAAGTTTTCTTCTTAAATGAACAACTCATTGCAGTCAGTGATTCACTTCAAAAATGTGTGCCTTTTTGGCTGTTTACTGTTATTTGAATGTATCCTTCTCCTTCATAATGCTACTGCCTTGAGCATGAGACATACCAGCTGAATTCCATATGAGCACCTTCCTGAAGGAATAAGTCAAAGACCTCAGATTAAAATACTGCACAGATGAAAGAAGTTCAGTTGATGATAATGACTTATACTCTCTCTGCTCCAGATGAAACCTATTTATAACACTCAGAGCACATCTGAAGACACATCTGAAGAAAACTACCACCCTTATTTTGGGGGGATAATTAAATGTGATTCCTAGAGCAACATTTAACTATAAAATACTCTGAATACACGTGGAAGCCTGTTAAAAATGTGTCTAATTTCATTCACATTAACAGTAAGCATTACATACTTCATTGTACACAGTAAACACAGACATTATGGGTTAAAATAGTCAGATAAGCACTTTCCAGTTGTCATACCAATAAAATAAAGCTCTGTAGAAAGTTCACATTTTGGTGGTTCATTTTCAGATGCATGACAAAGCAGCAAAATGTGTAAACTGATGAAGAACATGCTCCATAAAGCGCTCACTGAATCTATCCGGTGGTTTGAGAGCAGCACGCGTTCAGGCACGCGACAGACCCTGGCTCTGCAGCAACATACCCAGAAGAGAATTTGGCTCAACACTGCAAGACTTCTGCACTGAAAAAAAGTGTGCTTGGCAGCCAACCCTCGTACAGCCACCCGGAGAACAAGCACAAAACCTCTGCCCCTCCCTCTACTCCCTCCTGCCCATCAGCACTGCAGTTCTCAAATCGACCCTGGCTATGGGTAGGTGACTCATTTCAACTCTGATCCAGTGACCTAGACTGCAAAGGAAAGAACTAAGAAGCAGTTCACAGCTGAGCTTCACTTAAAACAACAAAACCTTGTGAGGATGATTGAGGCCTGCCAGCCCTGCTCCTCACTATTGTGTGCATAGGCTTCAGCTGCTGTAGTGCCAGATCTACAGCATTTTGCAGGGGAAGAAAATCAGGGATATAACTGCTTATTCTTTACACTGAAACTGAAATATTCGGATTTGTAATTGGAAAGACCAAAGGATCCCCAGTTTCTTACTTCACATGTACCCAAACAAGTTTGACCATGGGGACAGGTACTTAAAAATCTCACTGTTTTAAGTGTTGCACAAAAGAGGAGAGAAATAGTTGCAAGTAGGATCTGACAGGTTCTTCCTGCTCATAGCAACACCCAACAGATCCCAACATAGCCTTTTTTTTTTTTTTTAATAAAACCTTTCCTAGGAAGCATATGGTATGGATTGCCATGTCCATACCAAATTCAAAGTACGCCCCTTGTAATACACTAATCCATCACATTCTTCTATTTCCAGAAACATCAAGGGAACATGTAACATAGGATGTAATGTCTGTTTTCTACATAGTGTCACAGAAAGTCTGACCATTCAGATAATAAATATGAGCAAGGAAAGAACAACCCTTTCTGACCAGCTAGCTGTCTGTTTTTGGAAGAACAGACGTGATCAGATGTGTGACAGCAGGCTTTTCTTGTAGAAAAATCTACACCATTTGCTCATACTCCATATACTCAGCTGTGTCTGAATAGCTTCTGGCAACAACAGCTAGCTTATTTTTATAAGACAAAGCAACAGGGAGAGCAAGACACAATCTTCAGTTTTAAGCTGCTTATTTTAAATTCCTTTTATTATAGAACTTCTAATATTTCCAATTTGTCAAAAATCCCAGTATGCTACTATCCTACACCCCTTCTATTTCTGTTATTTTTTCATGTGGCGATCACAGTTTTATGAAGTAAAAGGTGGCAAAACCTTTTTTACTTTATTTGGATGTGTCTGGCATGACTGAAATTTAGAGAAACACTGCTTTGTCATTTTAAACCTGACATTTCACAGATAATTAGCAAATAAAACACCTTCCCCTCCCCCCCCAAAAAAAAAAAATCCAAACCCTGGACATTCAAGTTTTTATTACCTAGCATAATGCAATTTATTTGCCCTCTAACAATGAAGTAATTCTGCACTCCTGAGCAAAAGGAAATGCTGAGCTTTTCAGATGGAAAGTTTCCCATCAATATCTGACCTGAGAGTACTAGCCCAGAACGATGATGATCTTTTCCCCAGACACAAAGGAGTATGTCTGTGTTGGAATAAGGATCTATGAAAGACTACCAGGACAGGCATCAGGGTAAGCAGGAAAAGCCTTCAAGACCAGCAATTTGGTATTAACCTGCCACAGGTGCCCCTTGCTGAAAGCTGTACAATGAGAAGAGATGATGCGAGGATCTCTTCTGCTAATAATGAAGAGGTTCACAAAATCTAAAATCCCGAGCCACAGAGGGAGGCAGCTATGGACTGTGGACAGCACGCACAGGCTTTGTGTCTTCTGCACACCAATTGACTACAACAGATAGGCTCATTCTGTTATTGTGTTGCTACAATGCATTTACCATGAGTTTCTCTCAGCGAGGGCTCTTCTCTGATATGAAAGGCAGGAATATAGAGCCTTGGTTCCAGGAGATATGCTCAAACACGTAAAGCCAGAAAAATGATGATTTCAAATATAAATTTCTCAGACATATTAAAAAGGAAAAAAAAAAAGGGAAATGCCAAACAAACCAACCAACCAATCAACCCCACCCCAATACAAACAAAACCTAAAAAACACTCATTGCAGGGAGTTGGTTAAGAAATAACAAATTGCAATTTATGCTTTCATCTCTCCAGCAAATACATGGGTATACATGTCTTTCTGATACAGACCACAGCATTTTTCCTTAAAGCCCACAGTATAAATGCCAAAAAGCATCAAAATAAAACAATCTGGAGACTGACAGTTTCTGTTTAGACTTCCATAGCTCTATAGAGTTCTTAGGAAACTTCACTGCTTGATTCAACTGCTTGGCAATACTTCCCATGTAACTGATGTTTATTCTTTGCGGTCCTTGCAAATAAAACTATTTTGTAAGAGATAAATATGAAACCAGGCCTGAAAAATCCCATCTGTAAACATGCTGTAGAATTTATGAATAGAAGTGTGCCTAAGAAATCACATGAGCCTCATTCAAAGTGTAATCCGTGGCAATAGGATTCAAAAGAGAGCAAATCCTAACACACAGACAAACAAAGAACTATTTTGTATTCAAAGCTCCTATATGTTGATATTTTGCATTTAAAAAATTATGAGGTGGAATTTTTTGTACTTTATGGAGGAGAATGAATTCATCAATTATGATTGAAAAAAAAAGTTTTTTCTAATTCAACTACAAAAACATTCTTTTATGAAGCAAACCCATTTACCTCTGATTTTTGTAATTTAGAACTAAATGACATAAATTTACCTCTGTCAAGCAATTTCTTACCTCAGGTCCCTGAGGACCCAATGGTCCATGGGGTCCAGGATCTCCAATTTTCCCCTTAAAAAAATCCAAACAATTAAGATTTTTTATTATAATTTATTTTTGACAACAGTTTGCTATGAAGATTTTAAAAACATTTATTAACAAGAAAGCCAACAGAAGTGTTGAGATTACTTTTTCACTAAATAGGAAGTTTTGTAACTGGTTGTCTTTGAATTCAATTCAGACTAGTTCTTCATATCTCTTTGAAGTCACAACAACAACAACAAAAAAGTCAAATCAGTTTCAGACAAAGAAAATTGTGAGTTTTGAGACAATTTAAGTAGTCATAAAAAACACTTCAAACATAGTTGTTTTCACAATAAAACCTACATCTTATTTTAAAGTCTGGGAAGAAACTGTTACAGATATTGGTTTACATACTTACCTATATATTCTAAGCATCCAATCATAACCAAAGAAATGGTAGTTTTGGGGTTAATAACAGTAAAACTAGGTCTTATCCACATGTTATGGTGAGTCCACTATATACAAATACTGACACATCTAAAAATGGGCCAGAATATTTCTCTAAGTTACATTTGTTTTTCCACATATCTACAAGTTTTGCCGAGCCATACCTAGACGTTCCTTGAGCAAAATTAAGGTCTGACCTGGAAACTATTTTTTTCATTTTCAACATAAACAATTTTATTGTAAATTTATTCTACAAAATTAAAATTATATTACTTGCGGGACTGACTTCTCAAAGCTTAATTTAACATAAGTCACACAGTTGGTCACATTCAGTTTTATGCTTAAAATCCACCACTGTTCAGACAAAAAAAGTATTTTTTTATTGAGTTTAAGGGCCTATGACATTCATTAGGTCTAAGTGGCTTGATTGCACATATGAAAATTGACACTGGAGTGAGCATTGACAGCTTTTAATTATACACCAAAAAAAGGGAGATTAGTGCTAAAAACAGGTGAGGAAAAAGCCAAGTAACCTTGTGCGGCATGCCTCTTCTGCCTCAACATTTACAAACCCAGTAGATGTGGAAGCAATGCACACGTCTTTAAACTTGCTAAAAATCAATAAATACTGGAATTCATGACAACTCCCATCCCTGTGAGAAATGACTGGCCGTTATTAATGCGATTTCACACACTCTCTCCAAACCCAGCTAGTCCAAATGGTCATCTTGGCAGTTCCCAAAGCTCTCAGTGGATTTGCTTCAAATATTACCAACACGTCTATTCCCTCACAAAGTGACTGTCACAGAACACCTAATATCCTAAGAACTCCTCTGTTAAAATTTGACACATACACTGACCTAGCATTGTAAAAAAACCTCATATCTTAAGATCTGACTCACTCACTAACACCAGTCACCAGAAATAAGAGCGTCTTAGACCTTAGTATATTTGAATTAGGTCACTTCTAGAGGATTACATGTAATATGAACATAATCTCACAAAAGCATCAAATATAACAACATACAGTGATATACTGAGAGCAAAATTTGATGTGTAAACTTACTGGGGGTCCTGGTTTTCCTCTGATCCCTGGGGGTCCTGGTAAACCAAGAGCACCCTGAAAAAAACCCCAAACAATTATATATACATGAAATGAATTGTGAAGTTTGAAGCAATAGATTGCTGTATTTTGCCACCCGAAACAGACTTCAAAATAATTCTGTTGGATGAGAAAGATCTAACACTGAACTTTTATCAAAAGAGTTCTCACAGGATGTGCTATTTCAGTGACTTCTGATGTTCTAGCCAAACAGGAAAGAAGATCCTTATTTATCTCAGTTTCATGATAAGAAGGAGCATGTCAGACCATGTGCTGCTGCTAACCACACTAGGCCCAGGTGAGCTGCAGATGAACCTCAAGGTTCAAGGGAAAAATATTTTTTATAACAGTTTCTTAGCAAGATTCAGATCATATCATAATTCTTTTCTTGCTTGATGCATCTCTAAACATGGATCTGCCAGAATTCTGCCTGTGCCCTTTACTTGTCTTTGTTCATATGTTCCATAATTAGGTTTTAATTAGCACAGCATTTCTTAAAAATGTTAATTCCGTGATATCCAATAATTTTTACTACTGCATTCTACTTCTATGCAACTGACCTGTTGCATTTTAAGAGATTCAGAAGACTGATGACATTGGGTAATTCTGTAGAAGAATGTAGTTATAAGTTACCTTATCTCCTGGGTACCCCTGGTCTCCTGGCTCTCCTGCAAGGCCGTGTTCACCCTAAACAACACATAATTTTATACAGACATACGTATGTAGCTTAAAATGGGGTAGTTTTCAGAATTAGAGAATGAGAAATTTTAAATTCTAAATACTAAATTAATCTAAAACAGATCTTTGACAATGCAAGATATTGCACTGAAAAAACCCCTTCAGGAAACCTTGCAGACCTGGATGTTGTTATGTCCAGTAGTAAGTGTTCTCTCCAGAAATACAATATCAGATCACGAGATTTAAGTAATTTTAAAAAATAAAAGCCAGAAAAGAAATCAAAAGGGAAAAGGGAAGGTTTTGCCAAGTACACTGGGTTTAATATTTAGAGAAGGAAGTCTGAAAGAACTATATATCTCTAAGATAATGAAAATATTTAAATCACCTTATCACCTTTCATTCCAGGCTGTCCCACACTCCCTGGGAAACCCTGTTAAAATAAAGAAGACATAAATCCCATGTTCAAATATAATTTGGAAAGCAGCAAAGGCACCTGGCTATGGGATCATTTAATACCATACCGTGGGCCCTGGAATTCCTGATGGTCCGCTCGGTCCTGCTGGCCCAATGCCTCCCTATCAAACAGCAAGAGAGGTGACTGCATTAAACATTTGATAAAATGGAATAACTTAGGGACTGGTAACAGAATGTGGTATTTTTCTGCACCACAGAGAGAAACCCAAATCTTTTTCAGGCTAATTACTTGGGAAAAAAAAAGGTATCCATATCGTAAGTCCTTCACCTTTACAGTTCCCAACAACATCAACAGAAACCCAAGAAACCAAACTTGCCTCTTCTCCTGTAGATTATATGTTCAAGAGGAGATCACAGTGCATTAGGCAATGCAGAATTAAGGAAGCTTTCTTTTGTACTGCAGCTGCACATTCAGTGGCCATTCCTGCTGTCCTTAAGGTTAACTAACAACACTTATCTGTAGGCATTGAATTTGGCTTAAAAATATTATTCTATGATGAGTAGGGCCATAAAAAGTGGCCTTTTATGGTCCTTTTACAAGGATTTCTCATCTATCAGTGACTTCTACAATTTAAAACATTAAAAAAAAAAAAAGTGACTCTTCCAAAATACCAAGTGTGCAAAATGCAAAATTAAGCCTACATTATGCTGGGCATGTTAACTTCTTCTGTTCTCATGTACCTTACCACACCTCTCCTCTCTGGGATTTATATAGCAGATAGAAGGAAAATTTTATGACAGGGGGAAAAAAAAAGAAGCACCAGTGAACAAGAAATAAATCAAGAATCTTACAAGATCAACACTGCAACAACAATAATATTAATGAAAGACATGATTTAGCAATAGTTAAAACTATATTAAAAAGAGAAAAGTCTATCTACTTCCTGCCTATTCTACCCCTGGGGAAAAAGAAAAACAAACCAAAACAAAACAGCAGTATTATATATATCTCTGTGGCAATGCAAAAATTTAGCAACACATATTAATGCACAAATTTTTTGCCACTTGCTGAGAGTGATGTGGAAAAGATGAGATGGTCATCTATGCATTTCCAGTTCAGTACACATTCACATTATTCTCTGGAGACTCTTTCAGCAGTGTTAGCAATAACATTCTTCTGCAGCCATCATCAGCCTCATGGCTCACTGAAGAAAAATGAAGACTGATCACTTAGTGTCTCAGTGGTGCTTGGTAGATCTCCCAGGAAAGTTGCCACTCTGCATTGCTTTGGCTTTCCATGACTGCTTAAATGACACATTCTGTCATGCTAGACGATCAAGACAAATTGGTTACATTGCTGTCTTTTACTTGTGTTACATATTCTAGTTCAGCAAGGCACTTCAGTGTTAATGATCCTGAATGTTGAAAGGCACACTTAGGTAACAAGAGCATTGATTGAAAAATCACAGAGGGATACTGAGATGGGAAATAGAGCTTATAAAGGCAAGGAGAAGAAGTTCCAAAACAGCTTTACAGCATTCAGATTCATTAAACTCTTGTCACAGTCTCCAGACATATTGAGTGACCTAATTAAGAGCAAAGAACTGCAAGTACACAAAAATAAAACTGAAAAATTATCTCCTGATAAGAAAAATGTTGACTTAGTGAGTCTATCAGGTTTTTTAATCATCCTCCACCTACAACAGCCTTGCTATATGTTAGCACATGCTTATCAGCTTGGTTCAAGTTTGCTCATAGATAAAAACCAAAACTTTCTCAGCTAAAGTGTACTTTTTCCACCATTTCTGCGTGACAAGTGAAACTAAAATCAATCTGGGTTTGACTGTCAAAAAGATAAGACACTAGAAAAAGAAAGTTTATATTTTCCTAGTATTAGGTGGGGTTTTTAAAGGAAAAAAAAATGTTGTTGTTTTCTGCTGGAAAAATATATTTAATCTCATATTCAATATTGCATCTTGTAATAGTATAATGTGTTATAATGGACTAAGTATTTAAAAGCAAACATTGAGGGCTGCAGTTCTTTACTCAGTTTTGGATGACCACTAGCATCTGCTTGAGTAACAGCTGGGTGAGCTGAGGACAGGGAGCACAAACCCATTTTGAGAGCAGGTGTGGTCAAGGAAAAGGGCTACACCATACAAGCTGTATTTGGGGATGCTGGGGTCACCTGGAATTTCCCCAGAGTCCTGGTGAAATCCTGCTACACTTTAAAGAGTGCAATGGTCCCTCATAAAGAAACTCTGGAACAAAGCACAGATTTTCCAATTATCTGACTAGGAAAGAAGAAACCAGACAAACCAACATGATGTTACTGGAACTGTGTGAAAGAGTCCAGCATATAAAGAAGAGAAGGCAGGTCAATCAAATGGAGCTTACACACAAAAGAATTGTTGATTTCATGCTGTTCAAAATCTAAATATGCCATCGATTTTTTTTTCTCCCAAGAAATAACTCTCATTATGGTTATATTTCACCTATGTACAAATGGTAAAAGCTTTGGACTGGTGCTGGAATATTATTTTTCTATTTCACAAAAAAATACTGACACTCAATCTCTGTCAATGACCACAACTCAGCAAGAAGGCAAATGGGTCTTTGGCCCCACAGACATTTATGCTCACAAATTCTAGGTAGGACAAAACCGCTAAGTTTTAGTCAAAATAATAAGTAACAATATCTTTTTAGAAGTGATATATAGTAGGCTTTTTTAGAAAACCTAGATACATTAGTACAGTTATCAACATCCTTGAGATAAAATTCCATAGACAGTCCTATAAGAAGGAAAAGCAAACTGTAATTCTAAGCAAATTATCAAAAGTGCAACCTCTAGTAGCAGGAGTGCTTCAGTTGGCTCGAATATGTCAACTGCCAAGAACACAGTAAGTTCATGTTTGCATGATGAGGCTGGAAGCTGCAGAGGTTTCTTGACCAAGCTTGTGTTTTCACTATGGCAATGCCATAACAATCCCAATCAGACAACAAGGGATGACTTACAGGAATATTTTTTGTTATAAACATATAATTAAAAAGTTAATAATAATTGAACTCAACTGTTGTACTTCAAAGGAAAAGTCAGATGACCATAAGTGTAAAGTAACAAACTTATCAAGAATGTTTCAGATCTGCAGATATCAGAAAAACCCACAAAGCAAACACTGGAGACAATCATGACTTTTTTAATTCAAATGTAAACATGCTATTTCTCCCACGTTGAGAACACGGTTGCACGGCCAGGCACGATCGAGACAATGTCAAGAACAAAACAGAGGTCCTCTATGAGTAAATATATGAATGACTTTTTTAAAAAAGGGAGTAAGACTACATGGTATGAACATATTACTCTTTCCTGCCTCCTGTAGGACTTACTGATGTCACAGAGCTTCTCTGGCACATCTGTGTTGATACAGCTACAGTGTGCAACTCCACACTGAGCACCACAACTTATTCTATGAATATTTAACCAAAAAAAAAAATCAATATAATACTGCAAACAAGCTAAAGTAATTTCGCTTAGAAATTAATTCTGATTTGAATTTGGTAGCCATATTCAGGAATGAATGAGGGCTGAGTTGTTAAAGTGTTTGAGATTACTGCACTGCATGAAAAAGTAACACTGGCTTTAATGCTATGAACTAGCAAACTTGGTCATTTCAAATAAAAAACCCAGACATACTGGATCAGAAATAAGCATACAAATCCACACCAAGTACAAAAGTACTCCATACTGGCAACATGACAGCAGTTTTGTAGAGAGATATTAATTAAAATAACACAAGACAAATATTGTAATGAAACCATTTCAAAGTAATAAAAGTGTACTCACTCTTAGTCCTGGAAATCCAGGAGGACCAACCCCACCAACAATTCCCTTCAAAGAAAATCAAATTTAGATTATTTGAATGTTACCATTTGCAAAGAAATTCCAGTTATAAGATTAACAAAAGTGATCTACAGAGCAAGTTATCTGGGATTTTTATAGAGCTCCCAAAAACTGAGAGCTTATCACTGTATAGAGGAACACATTTACTAAAATCTCTGAATTGTGCAATTCAGTCTCCTGATATTTGTATATGAAATCATTCCTGATGCTACTGCAGGGATACAGGATTTTTTTTACCATAATACTTAAAATGGGAGGAAGAATGAACAATTTTTTCATGCCTCATGCAGACTGTCCCACACAGCCTGCTGGCACTCAGGGCACAGGGGAAGTTTTATGCAAGCAAATCTAAGCCCATTCTGAGTGTGTCCAAGTGGGCATGACTTGGACACAGCCCAGAGGACACCTTTGTGCTCTCCTCCCTCCTCAGGTGCCCTCACACCTTCTCCAACCTGCTCTAAACCAACCAGAGGTGAAGTTGGATGCTCTAGCAACATCCTCCAAGGCAGACCAACATCCTCAGAGAATTGGGAGGGGTGTTGTGGAAATGAAGGATGGTATCAGTCAGTTAAGCAGAAGAAATTAGGCATGGAGACAAGTGTCATTAGTGTCAAGTCAGCACATGGGAAGAAATGTCTTCCCTTCAAGTTCCTGCCACCACAGGCCTCCCAGGCAGCCCCTGCTCTCCACTGCCAGCTCACGAACAGGCTCTGTAAATAGCCCATTAGCATTGCAGCCCCCTGCAGCTGCAGCTCTGGCCCCTTGCCTGAACAAGCCCTGCAGGGTGAGTTTTGGGGGGGGGGATTGCTGCCTGTCTAAGAAGGCAGAAAGATCAGCAGCTGTCTTGGCAGATTAGATGGAACTTGTTTGCAAACGTTTGCATTAAAACAGGCTTCTTTGTAAAGCACAAGTCTGTAATTTCAGATCCAGGCTTTCTGAGCCTGTTTCTATTAAAGTACTGTTCTGCAGATCTGGTGCAAAGACAATATCTGCTTTATCAGGAATGGAGGGAGACTTGGGAGTACCAGGAGGGGAAGGAAGAACTAACGTTTTAATCTCATTTGAAAAGCAGCTGGTGACACTCACAAAGCCTCAGAGGGTTTTCAAGATGAAAAGCACTATAATGACATCACCTGACATTCCAGCAAGGGAAACTTTGCCTCAGGGACCAGAAATGCAAAATAATTTTTTTCCTATGTTCCAAAATGTTGACACCAAATGTTGATAACCCACTAGCAAAATTCATGTAAGCTTTTCTAAAACAAGTTTCTAAAATGGGTGTCAGAGCAAGCCTTCAAAAAGGAGAAAATCTATGCCCAGTTGTTGACTCTGGTCCATATCAGAAAAATCTTTAGAAGCAAACTGATAGCAGTTTCCAAAGAAGCATCCAACAATACAAGACGATTTAAATCATCTGCTAGTTTACCCAGAGCTTATTGCTGCTCTTTTGTTCTGCCCAAAGCCTTTCACTGGTTTCTGACACCAAAGGAAACCTGAGTTTGGAGTCTGCAGCCAGAGTTTCCCTACAAATACAGCAAGACAGCAAAGCTGCTTTGAGAGACGTGACTGTGGCACAGTTTGAATATCATACTACAAGAGCACTTTAGCCTGCACACACTGCCAAGGACAAAGCTGTTATCATACTGATTATAATGCACTGAATGACATACTAGCATAATTGTTTTCAGTAACAGTTCAAAGGATGAAACCAACTTCCAAAGGCATAAGCATACAAAAGCTAGGGTTTTCCACGTAGGCAGAATCCTATTTTGTTAAGGTGATCTTGGAATAATGGTTTAAATAAACAGTGCAAGATCAAATCCAATGCAAGAATTTTTGAAGACAAAACATTCATCAGCAATGCAATGAGGACAGCAAGAGATGTGATTCTCAAGGTAGTCAGCACATGTAGCACTGCAAACTGCATTCTTTCAGCAGCTTTCTGAGTCTTTTGTTACTCTTTTTTATACTTATTATAGTACTTTCCTAGCAATTTCCATGAAAAATTTAACAGTCCTGGATTTTCCTGTGGACTTCAAGACATTTCTTTTGAGGCAAATATCTCCTTTTCTATTTAGGAGGAGAGTTAATATTGAGTGTTACAAATTTTATCACGTTAATCAAGACACAATTCAATACTTACAGGACTTCCATCTGGACCAGGAGGGCCTCTATTTCCAAAGTCACCTGGAAAACCCTAAAGCAGAAGAAAAAATAGCTCTTTTTCATTATCCAAGACATGAAGAGTGGTCCTTACCAACGTGAACACTTGCCTTAGTCTGCATCTAGAGACTGGAACAATAACTCGAGACATGGTAAAACCTTTTTCATTTTATGAGAGTTTTAACTTCACATACTAGGTTATCAGGAAAGGAAAGAAATCTGATTTATCAAGTCAAGCATTGAAGCCTGAAACAGAATGTCCATTTTTTGCTTGAAAAGCAAAATGAAATGGAATTCCACCACTTTACTGGCTCTAATCTTTCTTTCTTCTCTAAGGATTTTGAAGATTGGTTTTCTTCTTTCAGATGTTGTCCACTGCAGAAGCTCATAAGTTCCTGGGGAAAGTAATTTGATGCTATAACCCACAAGTATACGTATTTTTTTAAACTCACAAATGAGGCATCAAAAGGGAAATGGAGAGTGCAATGGGACAGTTTTACCAGTCACATAGAATCATAGATGCAGGTTACAAATGATACAGCACAAACCCAGCATAGCAAGAGTTACAAAAGGGACAGATTACTTCCAGTCATCATAATCCCATTCCCAATAGCGTGTGCCCTTTAAGGGATGCTAAAAAATCTTGTCTTAGTAAGTAGAAAAATGAAAGCAAAATGAAGAGTCAGAAAAGTGTAAAAATGGAAGGAATATAATAATATTATTGAGCATCAAGTGTTTTATGAAATCAATATTATCATTTAACATTAATATAAAGCATACAAAGGATGAGTATCCATAATTTTAACATAGAACAGAACCTGAGTTGTTTTTACAGTTACAAAAAAATTGATTAATAAATTCTTGGTAAAATTTCCAGGGTCTGGTCTGACAGACAACTGGTTTTAATGAATCACAGATAGAAGAAAACTATGTAAAAACATTCCCTCAACTGTGTATATAAAAGCAAAATGCATCATACTAACAGGACAGACAATCCATTAAGAATGCTGCAGAACTAGCCAAATTTTGTATTATGATCATACAAGGCAAAGAAATTGAATACATATACTTCTACTGTGAAATATTTGCTTAAAAGCATATTATATGCAAAACTAATCTAAAATTCAAACAAATCCTCACTCTGTAATCTTCACAATACTGATTTGAGCAACTGAATATTTTGTTCCATTTTAAATATGCCAGAAATGTTACAAATATGAACAACTCTACAATAAACCTGCTAATTAGCAGCATTTTGTGAATTTTGAGTGTACAATCCCTTGTATGATCCACTTCTTTTATACTTTAAAACTACTTCCCAGAACTGAGATTATGTTTGAGACCTGTTTTCATAAAGATCCCTGCCAGTCAGACAGGTTTTTTTCTCTCAAGTATTATTATTGACAGAAGTTTAGTCCAAAGAAATAAATTGCACCCTAGAACAAAAGGTGAGGAGTCTGACCTCAGGCACTACAGGATTCCCAGGCCAAATTTTCTTTAGCACAGTGCCCTGCCCCAAAGCACCAGCGTTGGTAACTCTAGGCATTGTGCCAAAAGACCTTGTCATTACAGCTATCATTGTTTGGGGTTAAAATAACACACCTTCTCTAAGACTGTGATCCAGTAAAGTACTTCAAGCCAGGTTCCCATGTGATTGCTCTCCTAGTTCTGTCCCTACATTAGTAACCTTTAGTCAAATAAGCACTTCATAGATCATAGAAAGGATTTGGAATGAACCTTGGGATTTGGAATAAACCTTGGGATTGAGGAAATTACAATATTAAAAGAAATCAGTACTGAATGAAGGTGATCATAGACATTGTGCAGAGGGGCTTTTGGTGCTCTGTCAGCTATGTGCATCTTCTCTGAATTGATTTATATAAATAAAAATCCTTATCAGAACATAGCCTGTCACTGTGCTCCGATTGTAAATTAAAAATAACTGCTTACCACAGCATGCACAGCACCAACTAACTGCTGCAGATTGGAACAACTGTACTGGCAGTCAGTGAAACTTGCCATGGGAATGACAGTAAAACGAAAAACACATTTTCAGTGTACTCTGCTGTCAAATCTTCTTCCTATTCCACACTCATCATAAGCCTTTGATTTCCATACAGGTTCTCGTCCTTCTTAAATATTGCATGTGACTCATCAGCATGAGACACTGACAACTACTGCAAGGTACTGGTGGCGAAGAGCCCTTCTTGCCCAACACTCAGATGCACAAAGTAGCATTCAATTCAAGTTATAAACAAATGACAATATGGTCAACAAGCATAGGAACACCCTGTCCTTCTGGCTGAATAATTAAAAACCAGATTCCTCCTTTGATTTTATACCTCAACTATTTGATAGCAGCTGCAGAAAGCAGTCTATCAACCTAAGGGCACTTCGCTTGCCTTTCTTTACATCAAAGCGACCCTTGTGGGCTAGTGGCTATTTTGGCTGGTGTTGGATCATACAGAAAACAAAACAATTAAACAGAGCCCTCCACAACTTTCCTAGCATACAGCAAGGGCCAGATGATGATAACCACACTACTACTGCTGAACAAGCTTGTTCAGCATGCTAGCTGAAAGTCATCTGAACTGCTGAGTGCAAGTGACTGCACAATTGCAGAACACTATAGTTTTCAATCTCAAACCACAAGAAAGTTAAAATTAGAAACTCCTGGATAGCTTCAAAGACCTAAAATAATATGGTTGCACCAGAAAACAAAACATTTGGCATTGCAGATATACCATAGGAAATATGGAAACCTTGATAATGTATCCTTGGCAGATTTGTGTTTATTCTCAGCTGTAGAAATATATGTTAAGTAGAGGGCAGCTTTAATTTACCATAATGGTAATGGTAATGGCCAGTCTCTTCGCGAACGAAGATCCGGGGAAGGTCTTTCCACCTTCCAGCCTGCGCATTGGATTTTTTAGGTGAGACAGTGTGCGCGGAACTGAGCCCACCCTTTAATCCTAAGGTTCATCTGCCGGGGCCAAGCACGCTTGGACAGTGGCAGCGAGGTCCTCAGGACGTAGATGGATTGCCTTACAGGGCTAGCGAGCTCCATCTGCCCGGGTTAATTTACCATAGTTCAGAAATATCAGACGTTAGAAGATCTTCATCCAAACCAACACCGAAATCATATTAACAAAGCTTGCATCATATGTGCACCTTGTGCTAATATAGATTTTAAAGAATTTATTTATGTACTAGCTGAAAACAATAGAAAGTCATCTATGGCCAAAAAAAACCCTAACCTTTTTTAGTGTTTAAAGTTACAGAGTGAATTACAGGTGGATTTACATTGGCAGCAGGAATTATAACAAGTATTAAAAGCTTTACCTGTCTCCCTTTAGGACCTCTTTTTCCACGTAAGCCTGGGATGCCCTGAGAAAGAAATGACCCATCAAAAGTAAGTTTTCTTTTCTTCAGTACTTAAAATCGAGTAATTAAACCTGTATTTGATTATTTGATTGGAAAAAGACAGTGTCAGAAGCACTACCACTAAAATAGAAAAAAAAAATAATTAAAAAAAATATTTGAGTGAAGAATCATAGAGACATTGTCCTACAGTACAAACACAAACTTTGCTTTGTTTACTGTGGCCATATCAGAACAACTATGAAAAAGGGCCATATCTTGCTTGGATCCAAGTACATGGCCAGGCAGTTTTGTGCTCAAGAGAAATAAGAAAAAGTTCAAGCACAGAGTGACAGAGACTTCCATGGCTTGTTCTACTTCAAAGATCATCTGAGAAGAGACAAATATTAATTACTGACTGAATGAAATTGCTTCAATGAAAAATATTCATTAGGGTCTTGTTAGTAGGAAAAAATATAACCTTGCAGCTGTGGAGTAAATTAAAATAATAATTTACAGCTGTTCCCCATTTAGCTTTAACACTAGTGCATTTCATTGCTTAGACTAATTACATATGACCTATTTATCTGAGTTTCTTCACATTAGTTTTGCTTTTAGCAAAAAGTACTTAAATTATTACACTGTACATTTTCCCCTCATTCTAACGTATATTGCATTACCACACAAACATCAGCATTTCATTAATTTTCCATTAAGCCTACCCTTTCTCCTTCAGGTCCTGGTTGTCCTGCCACACCTGGAGGTCCAATGAAACCCTAAAAACAAAAGAACAATGCTTTTCACCAGCACTGCTTGTCCCTCAGTATTAGCCAGCTATGGGTTCACGATAAAGGGGTTCAATTCAGACTGATTTTAAAGTACCAGTGAAGCTCTAGCAATTTAAATGCGACTAGGATTTACTGCCCAACTAACAGCAAAACCAATTTCCTACTCTAAGGGTAGAGAATCAGTTAATCAAGAAGTACTAAGAAAGTGGTCCAAGAAGACAAGGTTACATCAGACCCCTTGTTTATTAGAACAGATGGAATTAGAAAATTTTTCCAGAAGTTAACCTTATTCATGAAATACATTGAAAAAGATGTTCTTATCTTTAACAACACTATGTAATCACTGCTATATGTAAGAGCTCTTAAAAGTCAAGAGTTTATCTTAATATAAGCAGAATGTCTTGAAGTTCAGTGGTGACATGTCTCTGCCACATTGCACAGTTGTATGGAGAGATGGGTCCTGCACTACCAGCTTCAACCTGAGACTGGAATAAAAATATTATTAGTTACTAAAAAAGAATTCCTTGCTTTCATAACTCTCCCCAGTCCTCCAATTGTAATTTCTATTTTCTTTGTTAATTATGAAAAATAGTGCCCTTCTTGTCATCCAGCCTAATGAGAATAAGGAAAATAAGGGTATACTTCTACTTTGTACTGTTTCTTAAAACAGCTGAGAAGCAGAGCACTTTTTGATTACAGTGATGTTTTAAACATAAAGCTCTAAAGACACTTCATATCATGTTGCTATACACCTCCATGGCACAGTAATATGGCTCAAGAGGGCTGTGTCATCATTTTTACTGGGAATTGTTTTTAGAATTCATATACAGGTTTAGCCTTAAGACATGACAGGTGTTTTTTCCTAAAATTACTCATGCATTGGCCATTTTTAGCTTTGTGTAAACAGAGCAGCAGTAACTTTTCAGGAAGTGATTGGGATCACTAAATGTCTTGGTTGAAGGGAGAACAAGACAAAATGTTTGAGAATCTGAACAAAAATAAACTGCAGAAACATAAAAGAAACAACCCCTGAGGGTCCAATATCTGTTGGCACTTGATCCTGACAAACTAATTTTTCTCATCGTTGTAATGAAAACTGACATAAAAAAACCCCACCCCCAAAAAGCAGGCAAATGTTTAAAAAGCTGCTGCATGTAAAGACTTTTAGTAACTACATTAAATAAAAAAAAAAAGAGAAAAGCAAATATTGGTAATAAATTAGTAATAAAATATTAATTAATTATCAATTATCAATTAATAATGAATTATTACTAAAACTATTTTACTATATAATTGAGAACATAGAACACTGCTCAGTACCCTGTACATGAACTGAGGGCCTGATAACACCTAGCAGAAGCTGCCTTCAAACCCTAGATGCAATCAGCAATATGCAAGTTTCTAGAAACCTGTTTCTACTGCTTGATGGTGAGAGTCAACCTGAAAAAATATTTATACATGCACCAGCATGTATAGAGAAAAACCCAATTTATTATACTTCCAAGAATAATCAAAAGCAAACCTTGAACGCACAGAGCATTAAGAGTCTTCAGTCCCTGGGATATGTAAAACTACAATTCAACCATTCTAAACTCTTAAGATCACTTTTATGGTTTTTATATGACAAGACCGTTTCCCTTTATCATCTTCTGTAGCTGTTACAGATTGCAAAGGCCAGATATGTCTCCCTTCTTGACAACTTCCATTATGGAAATAATGCTTCAGGCAGGAAATGTCTACTCCTCTTCACTTCCAGCCCTCACACACCCTGTGCTGCTTTCTTCTCTTGCCTGCATGCAAGTGAGAGAAAGGGCAACAATGAAAGCCTGCTCTATGCTGCTCACTACGGAAAAAGAGTAAACTCCTAAGTGCGTTTGGAAAGATACACTGTGTTCTCTCATTTGTAGGCTCTGTAAAGGCAGAGTGGCTCAGCAGGCATACAACTGGCAGAGCCGAGTTAAATTCCTCATCCCCTTCCTTACGTACTGTATGGGTAAAAATAGACCTGCATACCAAAATGCTTACTTACTCTTACACCTTTAGGACCTGGGTTACCTTCTGGTCCAGCTAAGCCCTATTATAAAAAAACATGAGATGTAATTAATTTTAAACAGCCAGGTATGATCTATGTGAACGAACTGCAACAGCATTTGTTAACAGTAAACCGGCAACACATTCTCGAAATTCATAGAACTGAAGACTGTGTCATCAAGTCGTCTCCTGGGATCGTGTTCAGAAAGGTCTCCCATTAATGCATGGCTGAAACACAGACAATGACTGAAACTTCCATTACATTAAAATTATTTCTTCTGGGAGGAAATTTTTTTCCAAACCCAGTGATCTGGCATTACAGTGACATAATTTCAAAGGATTCTTCATGAGTTTTTATATTTGGACACATTTCCAATGACTAATGTCAGAATAGCAAATGTAGTCCAAATGCTCTAAACATTTTACATCATTCTACACAAAAATGTTATCATCCATTACTCTATAAAATATTGTAATGGAATTTTAAAATATATAGCCATTACAAATCTAATCCAATAAAACACTGAAGTATTGGTCAAATTCACCCTTTAAGTAAATACAAAACCACAAAGTCAGTTGTTGTCAATCTGTCTTATATAATTTATCTGGGGAAAATAATGAGCATTTCTGCTTTATGTCTTATTTGTATAACTGCACTGAGGTATCTGTTACCTTATATGTAAATAAGAAAAAACCAGATTCAATGTTTATATAAGTGCTTGTGTTTTTAAAAAGTTGCTTTCTGGCTTTATTAGTTCTCACAAAACATCTCAATGGGGGAAAAAAAAAAATCTTTTAATCTTTAGTTTCCCTAAAGGGTTGAAGAAATAGTTTCAGCAATGAAGTAAACACATAGGTGAAAAATCAGGAGGAACAGGTAGTTTCCTATTGCTTCTGAATTTGAAATACCAAAAAAAAAAAAGATAAAACACATAGAACCACATGAGGCTTATGGACAAGTATGAAGTGTTCACACATTCAGTATTTTGGTAATACCATTTATATATTCTAGAAAGGAACAGCGTTACTGCATCCAACCCATCAAAGTTTAAAAGCCAAGAGACTCAACATTCCCCCGAAGGCACTACCAGAGAAAGAGGGTTGTTTCAAAACTAGACCACAGGACGTAAACAATCACATTTTAAGATTAGTATTTTCAAAAGAATTAGATATGGTACTTCTGAAAAGAATAAATGAAAGGAAAAAAAAAAAAACAAACACACCAAAAAATGTAAAGACGTTAGTATAGTTACTGCACCTGCCTGCCAGGGTAACCAACTGCCCCAATACTGCCAGCCATTCCTGGGATTCCCTAAATGGAAAAAAGGGGTGGGGTGGGAGGAAGAGAGAAAAAAAGAAACAAAAAACACATTTAATGCCATGGTTTGAAGTTTGTGTTATCATTTCTGTCTTTCAACATCTAGTCATATGATGCAGCATAAGCTCATGGAAAAAATGCTTTTTAAGCAAGATACACAGTAATATCCTAATATTCACCCATCATAAATAAGTAATTCCACCAATTTCAGTTACATATACTTTGAAAAGTGTCTAAGATTTTGTGAAATACAACTGTGCACCCCTTACTTTCACAGTAAAAACATAGATGATATTTGTAGAAAATAATTGAGGAGGGCTATAGGAGACAGATCCTTATAATGAAGTAATTGCACAAGTCTTAGCTGTATTTGAACAAACACATTGAATTTTTCATTAAAGAAGAATCCTTGTATCCTTACAAATCCACTTTATTTTGTTTCTTGCAGAATCAGGTCAATATAGCACTGGATTAATTATGGAAGTATAGAACTTCTCTCCATCTTCTACTGATGTTGATAACACTGGTTCTCTCTATGTCATTGCTGTATTATAATCAACACAAAAAAATTCCTACAATCCTGTAGTAAAAATTCATTCAGTTAAGATCTGTGTACAGAACCCATGAAACTCCTAGATGATGCTCCTAAGTTTTCATATCCCTTCAGGTGTTTACCATCTATTATCATCACCATTTCCTTTTCAGAGTCACCCAAAAGGAGACTCATGCTTCTCTCTACTCTGCCATGAGAAGTCTCACCGATGCTACCAAGACATCAGCAACTGGATATCTTTGAAACTTACATTCAGGTTGCTTCTTGGACTGACATGGAAGTGAGAAAAAGCGCTCAATAACTGTTGCATTTTCTACATGCTAGGAGATTTAAAATGCATTAAATCAGTAGAGATGGGAGAATTCAAAATGTGCCTCTTAAAAGAATTTTACACCAACATCTCACAAGCTGGTATGGGAGTTGAAAAACAAGCTGGTCTTTTCCATTTTATTGAGACCATTTCCTTACCATACAGATCCCTAAACTGAATTCTTGGTCAAGAACTACCCAGTATTTCCTTAAACAGTCAGTAATTTCAACTGATAGCTTATATTGAACACTTACAATGGGTTATACAAGTTTCTGTCATCCACTGTTCATGTGCAGAGTACAGGGTACTGCGCTTGCATCACTCACCTGTTCTCCCCGCGGCCCTCGCAGTCCTGGATAACCCTTAAGACCCTGCAGGTAGAGAAAGAGATGCAATAAATACTGTCAAACAAACAAAACAAACGTTCTTTTCCTACTCTATTCTCCCTTCATCAAGAAAAAAAATTATCTAGACTTGTTTGCCTGCAGAACTGGTTTCCGTTCAGCAGCTCATATGAAAGCTGAGTGAGAGAAAAGGAGTAAGAAATCTTCTTGGCAGTTTAGACAATTTCAATATATCAGCATGCTTTAAGACAGTTCCAGACTTGTTCTCTTTTAAACAAATGATTGCATGGATGCTGTCACCACTGAAACTGAAGAACTGAACTCTACACAGTGCATTTCCCTATTCCAAATCCTTGTCACAATGACCTTTCCGAACAAGGCAGTTCAGAGGAGAGGTATAAGTAGACAGACAACTCAGATTATTCTAGGACACACTCACGAGAGACAGACCTTCCAGGACACACAACATCTTTTTTTGAAATTAACATAGAACAGACTTCAGCTCTTATACTATGGAATTTTTATTGGTAGGGAAAATAGTCTCATCCCAGAAATCTTCCCTGTGGTGCTGGAATCATGAAACCGTTGAACTTTACTCCCTGTGCATAGACCATTTCAAGCATATTTTACCTCTTAAAGAAAAAAATTAAAGAATTAAAAATAGAGTTAAAACCTGCCATCTGCATCAACACACTTGAAAGGGAAACCTTCTTCTTGAATGCCTTTACACTGAACTAAACATATCCAGGCAAGCTGGCCTAAAAGGGAGCCTCTAACAGTTGCATGATTTACGCAAAAGCCAAGTTTCTGGCCTTCACATCCTTTGCAAGAGATGCTGGGAACACAAAAGTCCAAAAGCTACATCTTGAAAGAGAAATACCAAAAAAATCGTTATTCTGGATAGAAATCTATCACAAAATTGGACTCAAAGACATTGACTGAGCAGCAGGAGTGTCTTGGCTGATGTTAAACATCTGGCTGCCTTGAGGCATGATGATACTCATCACTCAGTAGAGACTTGAGATTCACTGTTATAAGAGGAAATTCTGCAACTGATTTCAGCAGATCAGGTATTTCAAATTTTTGGATGAGCTTCTGCATGGCGACGACAGTATTTTTGCATGAAAATAATTTTATTATCATATACAAGATTAAAAGATAAAATTATTTTCCTTGGTGACAATTTTCCAAAAAGCTAGTAACTCCTCTTTAGCTTTCAAAATGTGCCTCAGAAAACGACAGTTTTTAGAGTCCCAGCTGACTCTGTATTTCATGAATTTTATCCATTACAGAATTTTATCCTGTCTCTATGCTTAAATAATCAACTAAAGAAGCTGCTGCTAGAAGAGAACTCTTGGTAGTTTCTTATTTTTGTAGTAGGAAAAAAGGAAAGCAAATTCTGCAACACACAAACACTCAAAGTAAACTTTATCACAGGTTAGTTTCAAAGCGGGTCAGTTTAGCTGATTAACACTTGCAT